GTTACATAGTTGTTCTCTTCTTCTCTGTGTCTTTGTCTGGCTGACAAAGTATACTTCTTTATGCACTCCAGTGTTGCCCATCCTGGCTGAACTAAAAGTGTCATGACTCCATTGATCCTGGAGTAACTGTAAAGATTAGCGTTGAAGGTTTAGCATGGCAATGACATCAATGGCCTCTCAGTGATCTGCTCCTCCGGTTTCTTTCCACTCTTTATTCCCCATGGAGACTGAACGCTACATGAGCAAATTGGATCTCCAACCCAGTCAGCCTGTGACCTTCCCTCATCCAGGCTGTTGACCCCCCATCTAAAGGAGGCATTACATCTCGTTACACAACAACATGCCGCTCGCTCAGCGCTTAAGATAAAGAAAAATGTCTCAATTAAATCTCCACCGGGGCCCTCAGCCCAAGAGTTATGGCGCCTCGGTAACGCTGATTGCTACACTCACACATCCTCAAAAGTTATTTGACATAAATTACAGGAGTCACATAATTTCACGCCGTGCGCAGCGCAGGGGGATTTACGGCTGATCCCATTGATTGGAGGCTGAACCTGGAATCAAATCGTCAAAGCGGCCCAGCAGATACACCTTTCTTCCCTATCTATCTCCTCACAATCAGGCCCTCATCCCCGGCAAGCATAGATAAAAAATGCACATAGCGCTGCTGCTAGTGATATGGACGACATGTATGCACAAATATGCAAGAGGGCTGATATCGCAGACGAACAAGGTGTTTAGGAGAAGGGCACTTGTGCTGTTTGATCAGACAAGATGTGGGTGGAAGGTGAAAGGGAAGCTTATTTGAAATATCCAAGAAATGAAAACCTTTTATGTGGAATTAACTTTCTCAAAATAAGATAAGCTGCTAGGCTGATAGCTCTCTCTACTACCAGAATCCCCCGACACACAGTTCTAGATCTGCAGTGAGGTGTAGCTGGCTCTGTTAGTTCTCTCCATGGCAAATTGTTGCTTTCTTGAGAATATGTGTGGGTGTATCCGTAGGAGTCTGTGAGTGAATATTGGAAGAATATTTAAGAATTAGAGAATTTAAGAGACTTGTTAGGAGAAAAACCATGGTAGAAAATATAATATATTTGGTGTTCCTCTAATGCTGCATAGCCTACAACCAGAGGACAGGTATTTATAAATGATAATTATGAAACCATGTCAGTCAAGGTTGAATGCGTCGGCTACGCTGTTCAATTACTGCTTCTCTCTACTTATCTTTACTTTTGGGGGGTGAAACGATACATCCCAGATCTACAATACATCCCAGATCTACAATACATCCCAAATCTACAATACATCCCAGATCTACAATACATCCCAGATCTACTTCTAGAATAAAAAATGGGCCTGACTTCAGAGAACTGCTCTAGAACTCTCTATTGCTAAAACAGTTGTTAGTCTTAAATCAGTCTGAAACTGAATGTTTTTAGGCGTCTATTCTGTTAATGTAGAAACACAGTTACCGGTATGTTTGTCCTTGTCCTCTTCGTTGACATGCGATTGAACAATAAATGGCAAGTTTTGAGATGGTTTTCACTTTTGTTGGTCACAATTTGTCATTTCCACTTTTCTCAGCTAAGAGACTCCCTCTAGTGGAGAGCACATCACATTACCCTGAGAACCAGACAGTCTTCTATGACACTGAACGGAGGAGCACAGCCGCCCAGAGATGTGCACAAGCAGCACTGCCTCCAGGGGCCTACAGCTGTGACTAGATCCTCCTGCCCAGGCTGGTGGGGGGTGGACTGGCTAGGCTGGGGGAGCAGCAGGGGGAGGTGGACCAGGCTGGGCTGGTGGAGCAGCAGTGGGAGATGGACCAGGCTGGGGGAGCAGCAGTGGGAGATGGACCAGGCTGGGGGAGCAGCTGGGGGAGGTGGACCAGGCTGGGGGAGCAGCAGGGGGAGGTGGACCAGGCTGCGGTATCAGCAGGGGGAGGTGGACCAGGCTGCGGTATCAGCAGGGGGAGGTGGACCAGGCTGGGGGAGCAGCAGGGGGATGTGGTCCAGGCTGGGGGAGCAGCAGGGGGAGGTGGACCAGGCTGCGGTATCAGCAGGGGGAGGTGGACCAGGCTGGGGGAGCAGCAGGGGGATGTGGTCCAGGCTGGGGGAGCAGCAGGGGGAGGTGGACCAGGCTGCGGTATCAGCAGGGGGAGGTGGACCAGGCTGGGGGAGCAGCAGGGGGATGTGGACCAGGCTGGTGGAGCAGCAGGGGGATGTGGACCAGGCTGGGGGAGCAGCTGGGGGAGCAGCAGGGGGAGGTGGACCAGGCTGCGGTATCAGCAGGGGGAGGTGGACCAGGCTGGGGGAGCAGCCGGGGGATGTGGTCCATTCTGGGGGAGCAGCAGGGGGATGTGGACCAGGCTGGGGGAGCAGCAGGGGGATGTGGACCAGGCTGGGGGAGTAGCAGGGGGATGTGGACCAGGCTGGGGGAGCAGCAGGGGGATGTGGACCAGGCTGTGGAGCAGCAGGGGGATGTGGACCAGGCTGTGGAGCAGCAGGGGGATGTCCAAGGAAAACAGATTTGATCATATCTCAATCTTTCTCTCTGCTGCCCTCAGCATTTTGATCTGGAAACATGAGCAGGTTTACAGCTGCTGCTCTATGGACATGGTAGATGACTGCATGCCTAGGCCAAAGTATTCTCTTCCAATGAGGATTGTCATCACAAAACACATTCTGCTGACATCACAACACACACTCTGCCGATATCACAACAACACTCTGAAAACATCACAACACACAACAGACGCAAACAATTGCAATTGTAGTTCTTTTTAATATTTGCCTTAATATGGAATTGGGAATCAACCGTTTTGAGATCTGCAATACATTATATTACATTAGACGGCAGATAAACACTGTATATGAGAAAAAGCTACTATACTGAGGATTTGCTACACGATTCTGTCAGCCATCCTGATGTAGTGGCTATTAAAGGATAGGTTGAGATTAAAAACGAACTGCATATCACATGGGGGATTTAAAACAGACAAAGAAACGTGTTCAAGTATTTATGATAAACAGTACAAGAGGTGTAACATATAATATAATTATTTTTCCATGGCGTGAATTTTGACTGATTAAGGATTAGGATTAAATATAATACTGATGATTTCTCTACTTCATCCTATGACTTGTTGTTGTTGTTGTTGTTGTTGTTGGTAAGCACTACTTTTGAAGGCTGGTGACAGATAAGAGACACTGACTTTAGTGGATATATGTTATTAGGCTAATTCTTTGTGAGGTCATTTTAATCATGCTATTCTACTAGCCATGTGAGCTGGGAGTTTGGCCTCCAGAAGGAGAACTATTCATTGTCTGGTCGGCACTTCCTTTACACAATGCATGTCAATCACACTCAAATCAGATGCTAATCAGATGAGATCGTGAAGAAGGGATTACAGGCAAGAAAGGGCTCTCAAAAGAAAATGAAGTCAATCCAAAAACGGATCTCTGCAAGAACCTACAGTATCATCGTACTTTAGTGTTTCTGACATTAGTCAAAGCCTCTTGATAAAGGGTATTATCTACATTTAAATTATATTCCATGGCATCCTTCAACAACAAAGTAAAATGGAGACAAAGTTTAACTGTCGAACAGAAGAAAAAAAAACATGATTTCTTCCTGAAATAAGGACTGTGATTAATATAACTAGGAGACCAGAGACCATTTACAAATGTACATATCCACACCCCTGATGCTGCTTAAACCTCTACTGTCTTCGTCTCAGCAGCAATGGTGTGAGTGTGTGTGTGTGTGTGTGTGTGTGTGTGTGTGTGTGTGTGTGTGTGTGTGTGTGTGTGTGTGTGTGTGTGTGTGTGTGTGTGTGTGTGTGTGTAATTTGTTTTAAAGGACACTGCTGGCTAAAGGGGGTAAAATAAACATTTAAAGTGGCTGGGCCACAATAGTGAAGATGTTGATGAGCTTTAGGGTGAGAGACACATTTGGCAGGTGGCTATCAAGCCCTGAGATGGTTTCTCCATCACAATGATTTAGGCCAGGTTGACTACTCTCAGACCTTTCAGAAGGCCATATGATAATGCTATATGAAAACCTTGATGAAGGGGAAAGAACTAAGAAGTAATTTCAGGATGTCAGTCAATGCATCACAACTTCAACATCAACAATGATCTGTCTGAACACACTTCTACTCTACTGTACTGTTCAACCAAGGGATTCCCAAGTCCTAGGCGAGACTAACAAGAGGTAATGAGCGGACCAATGCAGATGTCTATAGTATAAACAGTAATCACCACAATTTCCCTTTTCTTTCTGCATCAACAGTCCTCTATGGGGAAGCTAGTGTCATTTGACTGACTGACTGGGCCCCAGTCTTCGCTGGTGTCTCGTTTCCTTACGACAAATATGACACATCTCCCTGTGAGAGACATGAGCTGCTAGGGGAAACAAACTCCCAATATAGAGGACTGAGATTGCATTATTCACAAGGCTTCAGAGGTTTTGAGCGAAGTTCAAATGGACCACTAAATAGTAATAAATTGCAGCAAAGCATCAAAAAGGCACACACAAAGGATTGAGATTTAAACAAAAAATGAAGAAAAGGCAACAAGCAAGATCGGCACACACAAAACAGAATTACAGCATGCTTTAAACAGGCCCCCCACGTGGGGGAACGAAAAGTGAATGAGGGATTATTGGCAAAAAGACAGAAAAAGGTGAAAAAAGCTTATTTTTAAAAATGAGGAAAAGACAAAGGAGAGCACTCAAACTCATGCACAAAAAGAAACTCCTATTTCCACAAGCGCAGCGTCATCTAATGCAATCGCTCAAACTCAGAAGACTAAGCAGCGCCATGCATTCCCACAATGCAATTTGGTTTCAAAGAGATGATGGACCCATCAGGCATCAGAGAAAACTCATTTTCTATTGGAAAAGAAGATTCTGAAGTCCTCCATCGACGGCTTGTGAGGTGCATAATGTGTAAGGATTGACTGAGTGTATTTAGTGTGCAGCACGTTACCTGTGGTACAGTAGCTAGCATGTTCTTAGCTTATTTCCTCTTATATACAAGTGAAGGTTATTGCAGGTTCAGGATTGCAAGTTTCCAGCAACTGTCAGTAAATTCCCTGGTTTTCCAGAAATCCTGGTTGGAGGCTACCGGCTTTCCAGCTTCTTCCCTCCTGATTCCGGGAATCCTCCAACCGGGATTTCGGGAAAACCAGGGAATTTATTGAAAGTTCCCGGAATTTTGCAACCCAATGTAGGTTGTGCTTGGCAGTCCAGTGCTCCTTATAGACACACTGAGCAGAGTTGTACTCTGTGTGGCTGCTGAGAGGGACTAGAGAGTAGAAGAGCTGGATGACTGGGGAAGGGGCAGGGCTGGTGGCCTAAGCGATCGACCGTCAGTTGGTGGTATCGGGTTGTGACGATGGGGACTGACACAGGAAGTGGTCACCAGTAGAAGGAGCGGGACAGGAAGTTGGCGGCGGTGCTGAGCCAGCCCACGCCGTCTGTGATGGAGCCCACGCGGGTCACGGCCTTGTCCTGCTCCTGAGACGGGCTTTCCTCCTCGGGGAGGTAGTCTGGGATGTCCACATTGTGCTCCACCACCACCTCCGCACCCTCCTGGAATGGAAGCATCAGCTGGGGGAACAGATGGAGGGAGGGAGGGAGAGAGTGTGGGACGTAGGGACGGTGGGAGGGAGGGTGGGACAGACAGAGGGAGGGGGGAGAGAGAGATAGACAACAATTGTTCAGAATCCATGCCTAGTAGCAAACAGGTTTAATTAAACAAGGCAACAGTAAACATGTCGTCTTCCACGAATGATGCCGCCGCCGCCGCCGCCCCCTCCCCCCAACTTGGGCCAATTAGTGACAATTCAAACTAGACTATACTGGTAGTAACAAAAAATGTCCCCTTTATAGCGCCACCGTGTGGTTGATATGAATGTTCTTGCATATGTTGAGTCTTGACAGTGTTTGCAACATGTTTACCAAATTTTGTTACAATACGAATATCTGTGACTGAATTATATGCATTTATGTGCCAGACCACGCCCACGTTAATGTTTATTAGTCAATAGTGGCCATGTTGTTTGAGGTACTAATCTGGAAAATATTGTGTTGAGAGACCTTTGTCCATAGATGCAACATATCAAGTTTTATGCAGATCGGTCATTCGGTGCCAGAGTAGCGTTTTAAGTGTTTTTCACAAAATTCTAAATGGCTGAAAATCCATCATGGCGGACCTTATGGGTCCATGAGGCAAATGTGTTCCTTGTGAGGAGAGGGATCTATGTACCGGATTTCATGACTTTAGGTCAAACGGGTTGAGTGGCGTGACCTTTCAAGGTAGGCATTTACAATCGCTTGTTATAGCGCCACCATCTGGACAATCAGTGTAATTATGTAAATGCTGGATCTCTATGGCAAGACGCATCATTCACCCAAGTTACGTCAAAATCGGGCCAGTGCTGTCTGAGATATTGTGTGTGACGAACATATGGACGTAGACAGATCCACAGTCCCCTCCCCAATTTCATTGTGGGGGACAAAAATAGTGCAGACAAAACAACACCAAGATCAGGCAACTTCAAGCTATTCTCTACCTCTCCACTGTCATCTCTGAAACATAAATCAACCAGCTCTGCCCCCTGATGGACAGAAGAGGAACAGCAGCAGGTCAGTGAGGAGCTGTGGCTTGTTTTGGAGAGGGCCATTTCAGGCCATGATTGAGCACCCCAAGGAAGAAAACTCCCCCTAGTCTAATTTAACTACTTCAGACAGGAGGGAGAGTTCTGTTGGTGGCTCTGTCTCCTCTGATGGGGGTTGTGGTTTCCCAAAGATACATGGTGTAGTGCCATACTGCTCCCAGGGCATGCTGGGATTGGTCATGTGACTTGGCGGTGAGTAATGCCCTTAGGACAGAGTGATATGACCAGCTAATGGTGTCACTCCAAATAACCCAGATTCATCTGGGATCAAGCTACCATCCCAAGCACACCAAGATATAGACATATCCCCAGCACACCAAGATATAGACATATCCCCAGCACACCAAGATATAGACATATCCCAAGCACACCAAGATATAGACATATCCCCAGCACACCAAGATATAGACATATCCCCAGCACACCAAGATATAGACATATCCCCAGCACACCAAGATATAGACATATCCCCAGCACACCAAGATATAGACATATCCCCAGCACACCAAGATATAGAGACGTATGGGCTGGCAAAGAGCTCTACCATTCCTAATCCCCATGCCTACTCCCACTGGGTGTGGACATTTCCAAAGAAAGAAGAAGTCCTAGTCAAAGCTGCAACAGCACACTAATATAACGACTTACCCTGTCAGGTAAGAGGGCCAGACACAGTTTCGGTTTATAAATCACGTTTGAAAACCCACTCTTTTAGCTTGAAGTTTAATACATTATTTTACAGTTATTGAGCATGGGCTTGAATCAATAATTTCAAAATTATTTTCAGAGCTGGAAAAAGTACCCAATTGTCATACTTTAGTAAAAGTAAAGATAAATTAATAGAAAATGACTCAAGTAAAAGTGAGTCACCCAGTAAAATACTACTTGAGTAAAAGTCTTAAAGTATTTGGTTTTAAATATACTTAAGTATCAAAAGTAAATGTAGTTGCTAAAATATACTTAAGTATCAATAGTAAAAGTAAAAGTACGAATAATTTCAAATTCCTTATATTAAGCAAACCAGACGGAACCATTTTCTTGTTTTTATTTATTTATGGATAGCCAGGGTCACACTCAGACATAATTTACAAACGAAACATGTGTTTAGTGAGTCCACCAGATCAAAGGCAGTAGGGATGACCAGGGATGTTCTCTTGATAAGTGTGTAAAATTGACCCTTTTCTGTCCTGCTAAGCATTCTAAATGTAACAAGTACTTTTGGGTGTCAGAGAAAATGTATGGAGTCAAAAGTACATAATGTTCTTTAGGAATGTAGTGAAGTAAAAGTAAAAGTTGTCAAAAATATAAATATTAAAGTACAGATACCCCCCAAAAAAACGTATAGTATTTTTACTTAAGTACTTTACACCACTGATTATTTTAGACATCTTTTTTTATATATTTTTTAAACATTCTTTTATTAGCTTCTGTTCACCTTCATTTTATTGTTTTACTGTAAAGTGAGTTGTGATTTTAAATGCACTTTAAATAAAGTTGAATTTGATTTGACAGTACTATCCCTCCCTCCCTCTCTCTACTCTACTCACCTCTCCTCCATCCTCTCCCTTCACCACCTGTGCAGCCTTCATCACCTTGGTGGAGTTGATCGCCGTGCCTAGTGCCTGAGGAACACAAAGATGGAGGCTCTTCATCACAGGATTACAAAGTAATCAAAAGAGGGATGTTCTTCATCCATTTCCCAGTGCCATGGAATTACATTGTGGATAGGGTAACTCACCTCAGCCTTGAGGTCAGAGCGGATCCTGACCACACACCTCTTCACAGCCATCTGGAAGGTGAAGCTGATCACCCCTCGGATCTTCAACAGGGCCTCCTCACACAGACTTCTACGAGTCTGAGGGATGGAGAGAGACAGGTAAAATGTACAGACGACAAGGCCAATCCAGTCTTGACATAAAATGGTCACCCAGAAACCCTGTAAACCTTCACATTCTATTCAGATGGAGGGGTTTAATGTTGCATTCATACACAGGTCCAACACAGTAATAGAGCTCATCTTCCATTGTCTTGTGTGTGTGTTATGGTATGTGTGGTCGTCACTGAGGCTGTCTGTCTGGTGTAATGTGATCTGGCCAGGTGCAGCTATCCTGTGGTGTGGTGTTCAGGTTTAATCTCAACACCCTGCTGTTCAATGGCTGACATTTACAACACTGACCCACACTACCTGACAATGTGCGTTAGACTATGTGGTCACATTGACAACAGGGCGACAATATGCCCAACTCAAGGATTCTTAGAGGTGGTGACTTATCGACTGTGTTAACCTATCACAATAACGACAACTGAGATTCTATTTTTTCGCCAATTTTCATCCCAGGGAGACACATTAAGGCAAGAAATCATGGAGCAAGCAACCAGTTTGGAATGTAGCCTGGACCTTCGGTCTGGCAAACTGCTCTCCTCAGGGTGTGTTATGGGACTGTGTGTGTACAAGCTGGAGACACCACCATCCACTCACTGAGTCGTCCAGGCCATCGATGTGCAGCACCACAGTCTTGGCCCTCTTGTTGGTGGAGCCCAGGAAGAAGTGGGCCTTGCGTCTGCAGGAGGCAGCCTCAGCCTCGGCCTGCTCTGCCTGGTCATTACCAGCCGCCTGCAGAATCTCATAAATCTCAGATGCCAGCAGCTTGGTCTCCCCTGGGGAGGTGCTCCTGAGGGAGGGTTAGGGAGGAGAGAGAGGTGGGAGAGAGGGAGGGAGGGGGTGGAGATGAGGGGGAGGGTGGAAGGGGAGGGTTAGGGAGGGAGAGAGAGAGGTGGGGGGGGGGGGAGAATAGAGGGCGGGAGAAATAAAGAAGTTAAGTATCAAAAGTTACATTTTTTAAAATAATTTTGTGGACAGTTATCTCTGCAAACAAAGGCATACTTGCTGTGTGAGATTTTCTTTTTACACATTTTATTTCAATAACCTTGACTTTTTCGTCATGTCCAAGTCCTCTCTTCAAATCCAGACAAGGGCAAGATGGTACCAATGAATCCATGTCAATAAGGAAGTGGACGCATAAACAGCAAAGTATCCATGTCTACTCTTCCTCTCTGTACAACACGACGACGGTGGTCTCCTTTACAGTTGGGTGTCCTCTCCTGTGGTCTGGGCCTGTCCAAGTCTCTCCCAGAGCCGACTGGGCTGAGTGGTTGATATTTCTAAAACGTGTCTCTCTGCCAGACATACTGCAGCTGCATGGAGGGGGGGGGGTGGGGTGGGGTGGGGTGGGGGGGGGGGGGGGGGGGGGGGGGGGGGGGGGGGGGGGGGGGTGAGAGCCAGTGTAGGGTGGTCCCCTACAGAGAGCCAGTGTGACAGGCCTGTCACCACCTGACCTTTTCACTGTATAAATAGCCAGCCTCGTTGGAGGAGAAATTACCACACTACACTCATAAATGGCCAAACATTCACAAAGGTCTCTGTCCGTCTCTAAAAGGTCGAATAATTATACTGTTAATGAAAGTAGTAGTCTAATATCATTTAAAGCTGCAATAAGTAACTTTTTGGGCAACCTGACCAAATTCACATAGAAATGTGTGTTATAGATCTGTCACTCATTGAAACCAAGTCTAAGAAGCGGTAGATATGTTCTACGGGTGCTATGTCTATGCTTCCCGTGCTTAAGTTTTGTTTTTGCGTTTTGTAAACCTGCGTCAAACAGCTGAAAATACAACATTTGTGGTTATAAACAGCTGAAAAGACAATATCTGTGGTTATGGAAAATATATTTCACAGTGGTTTAAGATGGTACAATGATTCTCTACACTATACTTGCTTGTTTTGTCACATAAACTGAAATTAGGCAAACTATTAAAATTTTAGCAACCAGGAAATGGCGGAGCGATTTCTACATTGAGCTCAGGTGCATCCTGTTTCTATTAAGCATCCTTGAGATGTTTCTACAACTTGATTGGAGTCCACCTGTGGTAAATTCAATTGATTGGACATGACTTGGAAAGGCACACACCTGTCTATATAAAGGTCCCACAGTTGACAGTTCAAGTCAGAGCAAAAACCAAGCCATGAGGTCGAAGGAATTGTCCGTAGAGCTCAGAGACATGATTGTGTCGAGGCACAGATCTAGGGAAGGGTACCAAAACATTTCTGCAGCATTGAAGGTCCCCAAGAACACAGTGGCCTCAATCATTCTTAAATAGAAGAAGTTTGGAACCACCAAGACTCTTCCTAGAGCTGGCTGCCTGGCCAAACTGAGCAATCGGGGGAGAAGGGCCTTGGTCAGGGAGTTGACCAAGAACCCAATGGTCACTCTGACAGAGCTCCAGAGTTCCTCTGTGGAGATGGGAGAACCTTCCAGAAAGACAACCATCTCTGCAGCACTCCACCAATCAGGCCTTTATGGTAGAGTGGCCAGACAGAAGCCACTCCTCAGTAAAAGGCACATGACAGCCCGCTTGGAGTTTGCCAAAAGGCACCTAAGGACTCTCAGACCATGAGAAACAAGTTTCTCTGGTCTGATGAAACCAAGATTGAACTCTTTGGCCTGACTGCCAAGCGTCACGTCTGGAGGAAACCTGTCACAATCTCTACGGTGAAGCATGGTGATGGCAGCATCATGCTGTGGGGATGTTTTTCAGCGGCAGGGACTAGGAGACTAGTCAGGATCGAGGCAAAGATGAACGGAGCAAAGTACAGAGAGATCCTTGATGAAAACCTGCTCCAGAGCACTCAGGACCTCAGACTGGGGCGAAGGTTCACCTTCCAACAGGACAACGACCCTAAGCACACAGCCAAGACAACGCAAGAGTGGCTTCGGGACAAGTCTCTGAATGTCCTTGAGTGGCCCAGCCAGAGCCCGGACTTGAACACCGATCGAACATCTCTGGAGAGACCTGAAAATAGCTGTGCAGTAATGCTTCCCATCCAAACTGAAAGAGCTTGAGAGGATCTGCAGAGAAGAATGGGAGAAACTCCCCAAACACAGGTTTGCCAAGCTTGTAGCGTCATACCCAAGAAGACTCAAGACTGTAATCGCTGCTAAAGGTGATTCAACAAAGTACTGAGTAAAGGGTCTGAATACTTATGTAAATGTAATATTTCCGTTTTTTATTTTTAATAAATTTGCTAAGATTTCTAAAAAACGTGTTTTTGCATTATGGGGTATTGTGTGTAGATTGATGAGGGGAAAAAAAACAATTTAATCAATTTTAGAATAAGGCAGCAATGTAACAAAATGTGGAAAGAGTGAAGGTGTCTGAATACTTTCTGAATGCACTGTATATGCAATGTACAGCCTTACCTATGGATTGTGCACCAATGAAACAGATTATCAGCCTACTCAGTGACACCCACAGAACACAACTATGAACATTCAGAGCTAATGTGGCTAATTTCACAGTGGTTTCAGAGTCCTTCAGTACGAGCTAAGACGCTAATATTTATGTAAACTCCACATAGTTGTGTTCTGTGGGTGTCACTGAGTAGGCTGATACCCCATTTCATGGTGCCGAGTGTGAATTACGGGGGTGCCAGGGGGGTCTCAGACCCCCTGAATGAGACATGAGTCCCCCTTAATGCAACAGTCAAACTTTGGGGGGTTCTAAATAATGCTAATTTAACCATTCTCCTATTTGTTAAAAATGTTATTTGTACTGCTACAGTGGTAAATATTAAAATAAAAGCTTATTAAAAAAATGAAAAACAAAACACCCCCACCTCTGTATCATGGTTATTATTATTATTATTATTAATCCTGCTACCAGTCACTTTCTCCTAATCCCTGTTTACATGTACATATCTACCTCAAATACTCCAGTATCCCTGTTTATATGTACATATCTACCTCAAATACTCCAGTATCCCTGTTTATATGTACATATCTACCTCAAATACTCCAGTATCCCTGTTTATATGTACATATCTACCTCAAATACTCCAGTATCCCTGTTTATATGTACATATCTACCTCAAATACTCCAGTATCCCTGTTTACATGTACATATCTACCTCAAATACTCCAGTATCCCTGCACATTGTACATTTGGTACTGACCCTGTATACAGCTTCCTCTCTTATTTCTTACGTTTTTTTAAATTTTAAATAAAAATGTTTTATTAGTTATAATATTTTGATATGGAATACTGCACTGTTGGGTAGGGCTTGCAAGTTAATCATTTCACTGTGCATGTGACAAATACAACTTTAAAAAATTGTTACTGCACTTGTCATCCAGGTACAGTCCTGTATCTCAGCCCATTTTCAAGTGTCCCAACTCTTTTCTACAAAAAGGTCCTTTTGTCAGCAAAACGCATCAATTAATTCAGGCTACAAGAGTGTAGAACCAATGACAATCGCCGAATGCCATTACACTTTTTGGTGTTTTGTAACAGATGTTAATATTATGAATATTTGTGTAAACGCTTCATAGTTGTGTTCTGTGGGTGTCACGGAGTAGGCTGATACCCAGTTTCACGGGTGCACAATCCATAGGTAAGGATGTACACAGTGTATGCTCCCAATGCAATTACGCAGTCTAATACATCCACAGTGGGATTTCAATCGGGGGAGTTTTCTGTTTATTGTCAAACTAACTAATTATTCTATTTAAATTTGTAATTATGTAACAACATTCCAACCTTGTTTAGCACTATCTAGTCCAAATATGGAATGATTCCTCTATTTGTAACCATTTGCATCGCTTTCAATAAGGGACTTTTATTTTGAAGGCGAACTGCAAATTCCACTCTTCCACACAGACCGCAGTCGGTGACCATATCAACGGAGTAAACAAACATTTTCTGCCTGTGAAAAAGTGAATTGCTAGAACACCATAGCATGCATAAAAAGTATTTACAGGCAACATAAATGATTAACCCAAAAATAGATTAGAAAACGATTTTCATTGTTAGATGTGACTGTAAACCTTCAATGTTCGCCAGCTAACTGATCTGTGACATGTAGGTGCTGGAGTATCACGACGCAGGCTGTTGTGTCGAGTATGGTGGAATGCGAATGCGTCTCAACCAATGAAAACATGTGGTGGGTGGGGCCAACCCAGCCCCATTCTATGCTGCAGAGCGAAGTACTTGGACAGTAGGGCCTAGCTGCTGCGCTCCATGGTTTCTCTAGTTGAAAGAGAGCAAACACTTAATTGAACAATTGCGTCCATAGTTCCCACCCCTACTGTTGACCTATCACCGACAAAGGGGTGTAGACTTCGGCTACCAAACATTGACTTGCCTCAAGAAAAAAATGTTGTGTGCGCTAACAGCCGGAAAAAACCCAGCCGAACACCAAAACGTCTCAAAAAATGTTTGACTGGGAAGCATGCGACAGGCTTACGGAAAGCTATAGGCATTGTTCTTCTGTGTGAATGGACTGGACAAAGCTCAGTTCACAAGCTAAATCTCTGTACTAATAATAATAATAATAATAATACAGAGCCTTGGGAGTGGTAACTTAGCTAGACTTTCCCTTCAGTCTTGTGTTCACACTCTCCAGCCATGAATGACCTCCACCCAAAGTCATTGTGTGTGGAATAGGAGCAGAGGGGGCCGGTGTGACCGCAGGACCCTTCTTGATAGGGCCTGTCGCTAGCTGTAGTGACTGGCCGGTTAGCTCTAGGCCCAGGGTCAGCCTCACAGAGAGTTATACCCTGGGAGAAGATCATACAGCCTGATACCAGGCCTGCCAACCGCTGGCACACTTCTGAGTGCCAGTCATAAACAGCAGTCACTTAACACCACACACCCTCCAGATACTCTCACAAGGGGGAGTGGGGGTGGGGGGGGAGCACACAACCTCCTATCTGGAGCACCCACACCTCGGAGGTATAGAGACCCCTCTGGGTGACCAGAATGTGTAAGTCATATTGATTTAGCAAGGTACCCAAAGGTAACAGAGGGCATTCTTTTTAACACAATCTTTTTTTACTGAATGACTAAGTAGTGATATGGGGGAGGGGGGGGGAATCGATACAGTTACATATCGCAATATTATTTTGGACGATATTATAAATCGATACTTTGACTTCAAGTATCGATTAGAAAAAACAAATATTTGTTGTTGTTTTTGTTGCCGCTAGGTAGCGTTAGCTAACGCTAGTCGGCTGTATCTGCGCCAAAACTCTGTATTTTTCATCCTATAGCTGGTTCTCCATCTTCTTTTAAAATAGTGAGCCAGCATGTTTTCAGCACTTTTATGTCCATGACTGATTTTAAAAAATCATGCTCTGTCATCCCACTGCAGCAGACATATAGTGAGCAATATGTTTGGAACATCAAACAGCAAAAAAATGTGCAGTATCGAATCTCAATACATACCGTATCGGCACCTAAGTATGGTTATAACATCGTATCGTGAGGTCCCTGGCAATTCCCAGGCCTAGTATACAGTAAGGGCAAATTAAATGTTTATGCCTAACTAAAGGGCATTCAATAGACATTAACATGTATTTATTTGAAGAGACAGACGCAGTGATGAAAGTGTAGACTTAGCTACTTAGCTGAGATAACCGTCCTTGAGAGAAATACCTGGCAACCCTAACATTATTCAGAATTTAACAAAAACCAGTGGGGATACTGACTAGATCAATTGTGATATTTTTTAAAACAAGTGGCAGGTTGCATTAAATCCCTCAATGTGTGGAAACAACTAATTAATTGTTTACCTGCAGACTTTAATTCAGGATTAATCTAATTTATCCTGACATGGCAACCTTAGACAACCTTCCTGTCAAGAACATTTGCAGACAGGCACTGAGGTAATTATTGTCCTCTGAAAACAAGAGAAATACCAGGATCAGGTTTTCAGTGAAAAGTGCACAGTGTGTGTGTGTGCTCATTCCAATGTGTGCGGTGACGGGAGGGGACTTACTTCTGCATGACATTCTGCAGACTCAGCATCATGCCCAGCTCTCCCTTCATCTTCTCTCTGTTGGTCCGACATTCTGCCAGGTAGCGCACAGCCTGGAACGACAAGGGAAGCCATTACAGCTTAAACGAACCTTGGGCTATCACTATCTCTGGTTGTGTGTGTGTGTGTCTGTGTGAAGGTGAGGGAGTGTGTGTTAAAACTCAGAAAGGCAAAGATTCATACACACAAACACACAGACACGGCTGAGCAGCCAACCAGCCACTTAAGCGCAGTGAGAGCCAGTGGTGGAAAAAGTACTCAATTGTCATACTTGAGTAAAAGTAAAGATACCTTAATAGAAAATGACTCAAGTAAAAGTCACCCAGTAAAATACTACTTGAGTAAAAGTCTAAAAGTATTTGGTTTTAATTATACTTAAGTATCAAAAGAAAATTGAATTGCTTAAATTTACTTACAGTGGGGGAAAAAAGTATTTAGTCAGCCACCAATTGTGCAAGTTCTCCCACTTAAAAAGATGAGAGAGGCCTGTAATTTTCATCATAGGTACACGTCAACTATGACAGACAAAATTAGAAAAAAATTCCAGAAATCACATTGTAGGATTTTTTATGAATTTATTTGCAAATTATGGTGGAAAATAAGTATTTGGTCAATAACAAAAGTTTCTCAATACTTTGTTATATACCCTTTGTTGGCAATGACACAGGTCAAACGTTTTCTGTAAGTCTTCACAAGGTTTTCACACACTGTTGCTGGTATTTTGGCCCATTCCTCCATGCAGATCTCCTCTAGAGCAGTGATGTTTTGGGGCTGTCGCTGGGCAACACAGACTTTCAACTCCCTCCAAAGATTTTCTATGGGGTTGAGATCTGGAGACTGGCTAGACCACTCCAGGACCTTGAAATGCTTCTTACGAAGCCACTCCTTCGTTGCCCGGGCGGTGTGTTTGGGATCATTGTCATGCTGAAAGACCCAGCCACGTTTAATCTTCAATGCCCTTGCTGATGGAAGGAGGTTTTCACTCAAAATCTCACGATACATGGCCCCATTCATTCTTTCCTTTACACGGATCAGTCGTCCTGGTCCCTTTGCAGAAAAACAGCCCCAAAGCATGATGTTTCCACCCCCATGCTTCACAGTAGGTATGGTGTTCTTTGGATGCAACTCAGCATTCTTTGTCCTCCAAACACGACGAGTTGAGTTTTTACCAAAAAGTTCTATTTTGGTTTCATCTGACCATATGACATTCTCCCAATCCTCTTCTGGATCATCCAAATGCACTCTAGCAAACATCAGACGGGCCTGGACATGTACTGGCTTAAGCAGGGGGACACGTCTGGCATTGCAGGATTTGAGTCCCTGGCGGCGTAGTGTGTTACTGATGGTAGGCTTTGTTACTTTGGTCCCAGCTCTCTGCAGGTCATTCACTAGGTCCCCCCGTGTGGTTCTGGGATTTTTGCTCACCGTTCTTGTGATCATTTTGACCCCACGGGGTGAGATCTTGCATGGAGCCCCAGATCGAGGGAGATTATCAGTGGTCTTGTATGTCTTCCATTTCCTAATAATTGCTCCCACAGTTGATTTCTTCAAACCAAGCTGCTTACCTATTGCAGATTCAGTCTTCCCAGCCTGGTGCAGGTCTACAATTTTGTTTCTGGTGTCCTTTGACAGCTCTTTGGTCTTGGCCATAGTGAAGTTTGGAGTGTGACTGTTTGAGGTTGTGGACAGGTGTCTTTTATACTGATAACAAGTTCAAACAGGTGCCATTAATACAGGTAACGAGTGGAGGACAGAGGAGCCTCTTAAAGAAGAAGTTACAGGTCTGTGAGAGCCAGAAATCTTGCTTGTTTGTAGGTGACCAAATACTTATTTTCCACCATAATTAGCAAATTAATTCATTAAAAATCCTACAATGTGATTTTCTGGATTTTTTTTCTCAATTTGTCTGTCATAGTTGACGTGTACCTATGATGAAAATTACACAATTGGTGGCTGACTAAATACTTTTTTCCCCCACTGTAAGTATCAAAAGTAAAAGTATAAATCATTTCAAATTCCTTATATTAAGCAAAGCAGATGGCACAATTTTCTTGTTTATATATTTACGGATAGCCAGGGGCACACTCCAACACTCAGACATTATTTATAAACGAAGCATGTGTGTTTAGTCATTCCGCCAGATCAGAGGCAGTAGGGATGACCAGGGATGTTCTCTTGATAAGTGCGTGAATTGGACCATTTTCCTGTCAAAATGAACGAGTACTTTTGGGTGTCAGGGAAAATGTATGGAGTAAAAAGTATATTATTTTCTTTAGGAATGTAGTGAAGTAAAAGTAGTCAAAAATATAAATAGTAAAGTACAGATACCCAAAAAAATGTAAGTACTTTACACCACTTGTGAGAGCTAGTACTGTGTGTGTGTGTGTGTTGCATAACCAATGCAAACACGTAACAAGTACAGGCTCTGAGTGTACACTGTCCAGGTCACCACTAAATAAGAACTATTATATAAAGCACTCAGATGTGTGTGTGCGCATCCTAGGAGATGTGCCCAAGAACACTCTTCTCCAAACACTGACATTGTTGAATCATGTAGCTACAAGAAAACACAATTTTATTTTTGTTGCGGTCTACAGATATGGGTGATGCAACCTACCACTTTTTAATTTATTTTTCTGTTGATATTTTCTAGTTTATTTTGCAACTAGTTTTAATGAGCATTATTACAGCCTGGACCGAGTTTGGGAAAACCTGTTGTAGATGTTGCTGGGTAAATATCAGTGTTTCTGCCTGGCGCCGACACAGTGGATTGCCCTCCGCACCGTCACTCTAACCTAACTTGTCCTGACACAACCTGACAGCAGGGGGGGCTGCTTATGAATGACTTACCGCATGCTGCATGGTATACTCAAGATAGACTGTCCTTCTTCCCTGTTCCAATTCCTTTTGATAATTTGATCATAGGATCAGGTCACATTTCTGCATAATAGGGCCTGGAGTTTTTCCAGGTCATATGTTCAGGAAAAACTCCTGACCTTATGCATAGCCAACAAAATGGTCAAATGGTGGTGGATGAGCCTTACCAATAATGCTGAGTATACGACCTGAGGGTTGGGGTGGTCCAGAAAGAGGATGAGCCCCGGTAAGCAGCCGTTGTCCTGTACTATGGCTCGTCTGTTGAGGGGGTCAGCTGCAAGATCTCGTAGCTGGTTCACCACAGTCAGTGCATCCAGCTCCCCACTCATGGTGCCTCCTCTCGCAGTGCCTTGCACATCAAACCAGCCCCTTCACACTGTGTACATAATAGGATCAGGTCAGATTTAGCTGTACAGTACCGAACCTATTCATTACAATGACATCCATTTCAGTGACAACAGTCTCTAAATGCTTTTATTTTTGGCAAAATGCATGACCAAAAAAACCAATTGACATTAAGACCCTGCCAATATTAAATGGTAATGATGTATCAACCTGTTCAAATACTGTAATCAGTATGAGCAACATATTGTGATTTGTGAAAAACAATCAGTTTGACAGGTCACTTGAAAAGCATCACCATTATTGTCTTGGTGTGTAGACCTACTAGCTAGCTACAGTAGTTAGTTAACGTTAGTTGCATTCTTTGGACACTTGGCTGAAAATATAGCGTGGGAGTCCACATTGACACATGATAACACAGGTTAAAGCAATGTAGTTAGCTAATGATATGGTATCAGCAGGGTGTTTTGATATGTGGCCCTGTCCATAGTTAAGATAATAGATATGCATAGCAAATAAGGGCGCTAAGTGTTATTATGGAGGCTAACGTTATATGGCTACAACAAAAGGCCCAACTAGCCTAATGCCATGGGCCAAAACCAACTGAATATCGCGTTCTTAATCTTTTTTGTTGAGAATGCTCGTGGTTTTATCCTGAACAACCAGCTGCACATGAAACATAGCGTGGCAAGCAAGACCAATAGCTAAAATCAATCGTTAAATAGTTAGCAAGCTAGCCAACAACAAAACAGAACTAGTTATCAGGTTAGGACTGTCAGGATAATGACAGTGAAGAGCCTCCATGTTTATTATCAGAGTTGATAATTAACTGGCTACTTCACCTTGCTTATGTAGTCTTGTTGTCTACGCATAACCTCTGAAAACACGCCCAGGACAAGCAGGAGCTGGGCTAGCAAGCTAGCTAGTTATCGTTAGCATATTATTACCTTTTCTCCAATTGATCTCCCCGTTTGAATTATAAAATGACCGCAAATACAATGCAGTTAAAAATAACCTAAGCAGTTGTGAGAAGCAGAGACAGCTGTTTCCGTCACAACATCGAAATAAAACACAGAAGCTTGTGATTTAACAAAATTTCGTCCAAAAGCTAGCTAGCTGGCTAACTCGTCAATTTTATCACGGTCTCAGTTTGAAGACAGCTGATTCGACAGTTCAGTTGTGACCGACAAGACGAAGAGCCATTCATCGAAGGTTTTACATTAACAAATTGTCACGACCTTGATTGATTGTAGTGATACTCAAGAATGTAATGTATTTTACCAAATAATTCAACAAAAGACAGTGACAGTAAACTACAGACAAGGAATTAATGTTACTTGACATTTCACTTTTGGCAAGACTTGCTACGTTCAGGCGTAAAACAAATGGCTGTCCGTAAACAAAGACCGTGGGTCCGCCTCCTTTCTGACAAATACTCCAGTTGGTCAGTTGATGGCCTGCTATTCATTATAATTAACCAATAACATTACCAATACGTTATTGTACACGCCCAATCTAAACAACTTCTCAATGCCCATTGGTTTATAAAAAGTATCTACCACCCCCATTCGTCAATAAATACATATTTTCCCCGCCCACTCACTCTGCCAGGACCAAGGGGACTTAAAATGTGGGATTGTTTGGGGGAAAACAGAAAGCTTTTCTTGCACGTCGACGTAAGGACACTAGTAAGTTTAAATTTTTTCAAATTCGATCTACAAACGTGGCTATGATTTAGCCTTTGCTGCTACTAAAAACCCAGTGAGCCTTTGTTTGACTCGTTAACCAACTGTCTGAACCACTGAACACTCAACGCATTGGTTAGTAAGAAGTTTCGCCTGCTAGTTAGTTTAGGTAGCTAACGTACTTAGTGTAGCTAAGCCAGTTGGTTAGCTAACATTATAATTGTACCCAAACCATTCACTATGCTTGCTTACATATGAAAATAGAGGAATATGTCAAGAGACTTAATAGTTTGAAACCTAGCTACTATAAGTTGTTTGGCACGCAATAGATATTTCAGGAAAATAATGCCGGCTTTCGTCCCTAACTACTTTAGTCAGTTTAGGATTAGCTATTTACACGCAGCAACTTGTTAGGTTACTAGTCAGAGAGAGGCTGGCAAGTTGTCTGTCTACACCAGAACTAGCTACAGTCTGCACCGGTCGATATACAATGATGTTTAGCGTACATGATTGCATATCAACCACATTATTGCATGTCGGCCGTTGCAGACAAGCAGTAGCCACACAATAACATTAACTATCAAATTGTTCATTGATTCTCAGCCAGGGGCCTTTTGAGAGCTTTAAGCCAGGGGGTCCCTAAAAAGGCAGGTATAACTAGTCATCATAAAGAGAAGTCAAAGTGATGGCTAGGATAAAATGAACAAATTTAAAATAACAGGAGGAAGGCAAAAATCTATCACATGGAAAAACTTTGACTGTAATGGCAGCTGGAGTCTGTCTAATGATCTGTGAGGGTCAGTACTCCTAAGAATATGGAACAGACTCTCTAACCCTGACCTGTGTTCTGACCTGCTGCCTTGTCGTTGTTGCTCAAACTAACTACACGTATTTCCACCCCTGTTTGTCTTCCTCTTGTTTCCCCAGACTACCTCACAGAGAAGATGCTTTCTTCGATAGAATGAGTAAAGAAAATATATGGATAGAAAAGGACCTGGTATGTGCTTAAAAAAATCATAGACTGCAGTCATGGCTAGGGCTGTTGCGGTGACCGTATTACCGCCACACCAGCGGTCACAAGTCATGAAGGCAGTCAAATTCCACGTGACAGTTTAGTCACAGTAATTAGGGTTCTCCAAGCTCTGATGCTGCTGCTGGTCATTAGTAGCCTACCAAACTTGCTAACTACCTGGTACTCAGCACTCTATTGTCCCGCAAATCACTCTTACATCAATGCAAATGTGATCAAAAATGTAATCAAACACTTAATGAGAGCCCATGAGCTCATGTTGCGCAACATTTCTATAGGCTATGCAATTGCGTGAGAAAACCGAGTGATGGACTCTACTAAAAAGAGGAGGATCCCATCAGCTTTCTATAGGCTAGGCCTACTATATTTCTCAACTTTCCTAATATTAAGCACATTGCTTATATTTACAACAGGAGTATAGCCTACCTGGCTGGCATGAAAATGAACCACGGGAAAAGCGTCGTCCATTTGCTATTTAAGTGCATAGATGACATGTATTTGTTTCCCGCTGCCCCTGTTTCGATACAGGTGCATGATGATGGTCCATTCTAAATCAAAAACAAATTTCACACACATTATTTAGTATATGCAAAGATGAGATTAAATCAAGAGTAGTCTGATGTGTGACAATATTAGCCTATCACTTGTGAATTATATATTATCACTTGTGAATGATGCCCAGCATATGAAACAATGCCCTTTTTTTGCGACTTTTTCTAATCATAGTCGCACACCTCATGTAGCCTAGCCCATAGGCCTATATGTTTTGATAAGGTTTGTAAAAATTAAGCACATTAATCTGCTTTACAAAGGGTGTAGAGCCTAACTGGCATACATAAGCAGCGCGTGAGTTTCAAGTTTTTGTGGAAGATAGTTCCATTTTTATGGTGAAAATTATTTAATAAAAGCATTACATGCATAATTGCATTTGCGGTCACTTTTGATAATGGTGTTTTACGCTAATGGAACATTCGCACTTATAGCCTACTACCATGTGCGCATTGCTGCGCTTATAATGTGAAGAAATAGCCTAATAGTTTATCAACGTTTTAAACTAAACGTTCTGATCTGTTGCGTCAGCCACATTGCGTAAAAAAGGTTTTTTGATGCTAGTGGTTGTAATAATTTAGGATCTATCGCATCCCACAACTGTCCCAGACTATGATTGGAATATTTTTGTTGTACAGAATAGGTCAACTTTTGTACTATGGAGGATAGTAGATTGACATAGGCTAGTGCTTTTTGCTATTCGTTAGTCCTACTCATCTTGTTGGCTGACGAAACGTGAATGTGGACAGTTCTTCCAATATCTTCACTATGCACCTCGGAATTGGATAAGGACGCGCGCAGTTGCGTCCCTGATGTGTCGGTCTTCACTTGTAGCCTGTGAGAAAGACCCGATCACGTGATGGAGAGCCATGTGCATGAAAGGTGATTCGGAGCGCGCAGCACTCAGGGAGACGGGCACAACAGCCACTGGCCGCAAAAGGCATGGATTTCTTTAAGGTGCATTACGGCCACACAAAGGTGACGCCGTTGTGAAATTCTAGGCATTATCAAGTGCTTGTCAAATTGTGAATGAGAGAGTAATGAAGTGTGTACAGCCTGCGCAAAAAACAAAGCAGAGCTCATGCCTTTCAAGTGACTTTTTTCAAATCCTCATTAGTCGCATCATGCAGCCTTACAATGTATTAAAAATCAAAACATATAGCTCAATGTTTGTAGAACAACTGAAGTTACATTAGTAACTCTAAATTAAGCATATAGGAATACCTATTTCTTTGTTAACCGCTCAACACAGAATAGCCACGTGTGCACTCCCTCAAATCGAATGGAGAAAATATCCTTTCGATTTTATTCAGCTTTGTTCAATTGTATTCTTCATACTATAAAATAATGCTACGGTATTCTAAGCAAATCTTTTCTGCTAAATGAACTAGTGTAGCCCACAGCCATTTGGCATAGCCAGATCAGGACCTAACATAATGACAACTCAGAGTATGCTATTCTGTTCTTTTGAAATAGACTACATTTTCTTCATATCATGCTTCGTTAGACCTGTCTAAAATAAATAATGGATTTATTGTGAAGGTGTAGGCTATATTACATGGATTTATTCGACAGTTTAAAATGTAAATGTTCCGAAGGTCTTCACAAGTGGCTTGTAGGCTGTGTGGAAGCCAGGAGATGCTAAAATGTGTTTGTTAATTAACGGTCAGTTATCGTGAGACCGACAGTTATTTGCTTGGCAATCACTGCCTGACGAAATTTCGTGACTGCCACCAAGTCATGGTCAGACCAAATATCTGTCATCTCAACTGTCACCGATCAGACGTTTTAGCAACAACAGTATACTCATGAGCAGAGCGGGGCTGAAGACAATGTTAAAGCTTCTTGAGATGATGATAATAATATATGACGTTTAGCAGACGCTTTTATCCAAACCGACTTAGTCATGCGTGTATACATTTTATGTATGGATCACTAAAGTATCCACATTGTAAATCTTGTCCTCGTGGCTCTTCCACTCTACTGTATTGATTTAATTATGATGTACCCCTTATCGTGATTCTAGTACGTAACCACAAGCCTATGTGTTTATTTTTGGCAGGCCTTTGGCTTTTCAGGCAAGGCGTATGGGTCCTCAAGGAGTATTGTGAGAAGAATAGCCACCAATCTTCCCCTTAAACCATGCCCCAGGGTCCATTTTCAGGTAAGACTGTGTTTATGCAACAGAGGCAAGCATACTAAACTCAGCAAAAAAAGAAACATCCTCTCACTGTCAACTGCGTTTATTTTCAGCAAACTTAACATGTGTAAATATTTGTATGAACATAACAAGATTCAACAACTGAGACATAAACTGAACAAGTTCCACAGACATGTGACTAACAAATGGAATAATGTGTCCCTGAACAAAGGGGGAGTCAAAAGTAACAGTCAGTATCTGGTGTGGCCACCAGCTGCATTAAGTACTGCAGTGCATCTCCTCCTCATGGACTGCACCATATTTGCCAGTTCTTGCTGTGAGATGTTACCCCACTCTTCCACCAAGGCACCTGCAAGTTCCCAGACATTTCTGGGGGGAATGGCCCTAGCCGTCACCCTCCGATCCAACAGGTCCCAGACGTGCTCAATGGGATTGAGATCCGGGCTCTTCGCTGGCCACGGCAGAATACTGACGTTCCTGTCTTGCAGGAAATCACGCACAGAACGAGCAGTATGACTGGTGGCATTGTCATGCTGGAGGGTCATGTCAGGATGAGCCTGCAGGAAGGGTACCACATGAAGGAGGATGTCTTCCCTGTAACGCACAGTGTTGAGATTGCCTGCAATGACAACAAGCTCAGTCCGATGATACTGTGACACACCGCCCCAGACCATGACGGACCCTCCACCTCCAAATCACTCCCGCTCCAGAGTACAGGCCTCGGTGTAACGCTAATTCCTTAGACGATAAACGCAAATCCGACCATCACCCCTGGTGAGACAAAACCGCGACTCGTCAGTGAAGAGCACTTTTTGCAAGTCCTGTCTGGTCCAGCGATGGTGGGTTTGTGCCGGTGAGGACCTGCCTTACAACAGGCCTACAAGCCCTCAGTCCAGCCTCTCTCAGCCTATTGCGGACAGTCTGAGCACTGATGGAGGGATTGTGCGTTCCTGGTATAACTCGGGCAGTTGTTGTTGCCATACTGTGCCTGTCCCGCAGGTGTGATGTTCGGATGTACCGATCCTGTGCAGGTGTTGTTACACGTGGTCTGCCACTGCGAGGACGATCAGCTGTCTGTCCTTTCTCCCTGTAGCGCTGTCTTAGGCATCTCACGGTACGGACATTGCAATGTATTGCCTTGGCCACATCTGCAGTGCTCATGCCTCCTTGCAGCATGCCTAAGGCACGTTCACGCAAATGAGCAGGGACCCTGGGCATCTTTCTTTTGGTGTTTTTCAGAGTCAGTAGAAATACCTCTTTAGTGTCCTAAGTTTTCATAACTGTGACCTTAATTGCAAACCATCTGTAAGCTGTTAGTGTCTTAATGACCGTTCCACAGGTGCATGTTCATTAATTGTTTATGGTTCATTGAACAAGCATGGGAAACTGTGTTTAAACCCTTTACAATGAAGATCTGTGAAGTTATTTGGATTTTTATGAATTATCTTTGAAAGACGGGGTCCTGAAAAAGGGATGTTTTTTTTTTTTTTTTGCTGAGTTTGTCGGAAGTCTACGATGATCTATGACATGTTATAGAACTAAAAGTGATTGATAATATTCTTTGTAGATTGTCTGCTGCTGTACTTTGACAGAGTATGATCTGTTTGTGACATTGTTTCCATGTCTATCACTGTTTCTGTGTCAGCGCTCGCTACAGTGATTGTATCTCTCTTTGCCTTGTGCTCAAGTGTCATGTTATCTTAGCATTCTGGCCTAATGTATTCTGATCTAATGGTCAAGTCACTCATCAAGAGTGTTTGCCTGCTTGTTCATCTGTTTTGATGCTCTAACTATAAACAGAATGGAAGAGATAATGAGACCAATAACATGGACCTACGTGTTTATTCATGTTGAGAGAAATTAGTAGGACTGGGACGATACCAGTATCGCGATACTCGTTAGTATCATGGCAAAGAAACCAAACACACAGTTAATTTAACTTCTTTATAAAAACAGCCCTAATGTTGAAAACATCATCAATATGTTGTCATCCAGAGTCCCATTTATTTATTTTAGAAGTTATAGAACACACCACTTTACATTCAGAAGGTTTTTAAAGGACCAAAGAGTTTGGTCTGCTACGTGTTTTTGCCATTTGCGCCGATTTGGTGATAAAATATTATAGGGCCTTTTTATTGTTTAGATTGAACGTAAGTCTGGTGTGTTTTTTTGCATTAGAAAGTCACGGCAACACAGAGCAGAACAGTTCTGTGTTTAAAGGTTTTGGTAGTCATGTTATTTCCCTGTTCTCAATCTTTAGATTCAGATTTTCTGTCTTTTCAACACTGTTTTCTCTCTTCCTCTCTCCCTCTTTAGCTGTCCAGTATGTCTGCTTTAGGTCAGTTCACCTTGCAACCTGTAACAACAGTAACCTTGTGCTGATGACTAATTTCTGGTGGCATGCATACAAAGGTCCTCTTATTAGGACTGTGTCCACTGTCCTTATTTCTGTTTTTGTACCTTTTATATGCTGACTGTAAGCTCATGTTGCGTTTAGGGACAGCAGAAGAATAGGCCTTGACAGGCTATTGATAGACCACATAACAATAGGCCTTGACAGGCTATTGATAGACCGCATAACAATAGGCCTTGACAGGCTATTGATAGACCACATAACAATAGGCCTTGACAGGCTATTGATAGACCGCATAACAATAGGCCTTGACAGGCTATTGATAGACCGCATAACAATAGGCCTTGACAGGCTATTGATAGACCGCATAACAATAGGCCTTGACAGGCTATTGATAGACCGCATAACAATAGGCCTTGACAGGCTATTGATAGACCGCATAACAATAGGCCTTGACAGGCTATTGATAGACCACATAACAATAGGCCTTGACAGGCTATTGATAGACCGCATAACAATAGGCCTTGACAGGCTATTGATAGACCACATAACAATAGGCCTTGACAGGCTATTGATAGACCACATAACAATAGGCCTTGACAGGCTATTGATAGACCGCATAACAATAGGCCTTGACAGGCTATTGATAGACCGCATAACAATAGGCCTTGACAGGCTATTGATAGACCGCATAACAATAGGCCTTGACAGGCTATTGATAGACCACATAACAATAGGCCTTGACAGGCTATTGATAGACCACATAACAATAGGCCTTGTTGCGGTCTTGTACCATGTGCTCCGTTTCTTAGTCAACCAAAGCCAATCAAGTGTCTGTTAGGATACATTTCCAAGTAGTGTGAATGCAGTTTAAGTCATAAGATGAGAATAGCTCACATGTGGCTAAACAGGACTGTGTATTTCAGTTGTTGACAGTGTATTGAGTGATTTTGGCCCAATCCTCTGGTATGTAAGGAGAATGTTTAGGTGTATTGATGAACATGGCTGCCCTGTGTCTCAGCTCAATCCTTACACTGAGGACAGTAGTGTCCTGAACAGTGCTGGGAGACGGAATGGACTGGTGGCCTCTCTGGCTGATGTCGTCTGGATCGACAGGGAGGAGGAGGAAGATGAAAATGACTGGTTTGGATTTAGGAGACGGAGGTAAGAGGGGAGCGGGCCACACTTTCTCAAGCTGTGACGCTGCCCTTAGAAAGCTACTGTTTATTGACCCACATACTGTGCTCATTAGACAGTTCCTTTGCTCATGTGTTAACTATAACTCGGAGTCTCTGCCCCTCTTCTAATATGGTGATTTATTTACCATTGGTCCCGTTCAGGTCAGAGGCACCGTCAGGGCTCATGTTCCGTTCTCACCCGCCTCAGCCCAAACAACAACAACCTTTGCCCAGACGTAGTTCTTTACCCAGCCTGCACCAGGCTGAGCTGGAGCCCCAGGGTCAGACCCGCCGCAACGATGAGGCCATCCAGAAGATCACTGCTCTGGAGACGGAGCTGGCCAAACTCAGAGCCCAGATCTCACAGATAGTACTGACCCAGGAGCAGAACGCACATACACCAGGTACGGAACAGAGAACCCAGAACACACATGCGTGCGCACACACTAAAGGGTGAAGAAGAATCCTCAAAACACAAACCCACAAAGTTCAAATAACTCCTAGCTCCTTCATTTGTTGGGTAAGATACAGTAGTTGCACATTTTCCTCTGTAATGACCTACATCTGCCTGAAGATGGCAGCTTTTTCATAATTGTCTGACTAATCTATACATTTCTCACCAAGCTCTCTCCTTCACCTCAGCCCCAGGGGGTCCTCCTGCTCCAGGCGGCCCTCCACCTCCACCCTGCGCCCTTCCCCCTCCTCCTCCTCCTCCACCCCCACTCATGGGTTTCCAGCGGAGCTTCTCGGTCATTGACCTCATCCAGGAGCGCCGTGGGAAGAAGACCGACGGCCAGGCACTGCTGGACCAGGGGCCCAAGCAGGCAGAGGTCCCCAACATGCTGGATGTGCTTAAAGACATCGGCAAAGTCAAGCTGCGCCCCGCCAAGAGGTGGGCACCATGTTCATGGTCTGACTTCTACATTACAGAAATGGGCGCAACTCTTGTTTTACTAAACGTGACTAATTTCCAGCTAAAGCATTAATTTTCCTTACTTCCTGTGTTATTGTCCAGCCGGCCAGAGGAGAGCCAAGCCAAGCCTAGTGAGCCCACAGACGCTGCGTCTCTCATTGCTAATGCCCTGAAGCGCAAGTTTGCCCATCGCTATCGCCACAACAGCAATGAGGACAATGAGTTTGACTTCCCAGCCTATGAACTGAAACCTTTCTGTTCTGAATTCCCCAAGACAGACAAAGTAGAGATTCCCCTGGTAAGAGCAACACTGATACTAGATTTAGTCTATTACATCGACCATGAATCCCCAGTTTGGGCCTTATAATTTTCAAACTACAGTGTATGTTTGTGCAACAACAACAAAGATGGGTAAAACCTTAGATCTTTGAGTTTCTGGCTATTGTGTGTAGGGTTGTCATTTGCTTACCTTTGTCCTGTAGGTAAGGAAGCACCAGTTGAAAACCCCAGCCCCTGTAGTGAAACCACACCCAGAGACACCCTTGGTAAGAGTAGTGCAAGCATGACTAATCTTTGATTTTATAAAGATATCTAATATTTGATGTGAGTTTGGAAACTAATTTGCTCCTGTCTCTCTTACCCATCCTGTAGTTTGGGCAGCACATGTTGAAATCTACTGGCAAGAGAAAGCTCCTCTGAGCACCCGCAGAGATAGGCTGGAGTTCTGGTCTGAGTTCTGGACCTCCAGACACCCATGGACACTTAAGTGCCTTATCAGCCCGTGTGTCAGCTGTTTCTGTGGATGGACACGTTGTTTCTGTCTAGATATGCAGTCAATCTGCTCTCCATTCCTACTCACCAACAGTGTTGCATTGACTCATAGTCTTCAGTTCTTGCGCTTTGATAATATACAGTATCCATTTTTCAGGTGTACCATGTAGATTTTAATTTTGTTTCATTTAAATGTCCTATTTTTGTTTCTTAAAATGATGCCAGTTTTGAAATCTACGATCTTAAATTAGGAAGGTCCAAGTTTGTTTGTCAGATTTTCTTTTAATGTAGATGTATTTTGTATCATAACTAAATTCCAATATGACATTCACCCAGTGTGTTATGTTCTGGATATGCACTCTGTAACACTACAGAATCCTAACATTCAACTGAGAACCGTTAATAACGACATGTATTAAAGGGGGATTTATGGGAAATGACTGTTTCTAAATGCACATAGACGGAAAGGCTTATCCATTTTGCATGCCCTTTAAGGCAGTTGTATTTCTCTTTGCCTCTACTTCTTGCTATGGGTGGAGAGATGTCTGCAGTCATTTGGTCCCTTTTGTGTAGGATTGGGCCATTTTATATTTTTGTAAATTGCATCCTAGTCAATTTAGTTTATGATTTCTTGAACACTGTTTGGTTTTTAGAACAGAGTTTATAGTGAATACTTGATACAAATAATTGTTGTAGTTGCTACCAATTATCAATGCGTGTGTGGTTGATTTAATTGTGGTTTTAATTTTAGACTGGCTCTTTTAGCTTTGAGTTGAACTGGGACCAGTTTAGTACCTCACTATGAAGATTGGACCAAACTTACACTAATCTACAGTATGGTGACAGTTGTCTTAATGCATTCTGAAAGAAAACTATGCTAATGTTGATCTAAAGCTGTAACACTGGGACACTCCACCAGTCATTTTACTGATGCTGGGAAGGAGGATGTTTTTTTATTAGTTCCAATCTGTGTGTATTCTGGCTCATGACATATGGGACAAGCCCAGTGGCATTATGGGAGGTAATGCTACTCAGTGACGAGCTGTGTTTCCCTCAGAAAATGGTGGCTTCATATGATACTACCAAAATATTTTTCAAAGAACAGTTTCATAATTGATGTTTTTTTTGTAGAATGTGAAGTGTTTTATCCGCATGATTCAAATGACTATTTAGGGGGGAACAGTGTTTTAATTATATATAAGTCTAACCTGTGAGTCTGGTTCATTTATCCTTTGAAGGCAAGGGCCAGTTGGTTTATCATTGACATACTGTACTGATAGTATTTTTCCTGCTCAGTTTGTCTAAGCTTTGAACCTGTGCATGGTGGGAGTGTAAGGGAACATGGACAACTGTCAGTGATACTTGATGTAAAACCTTAACTCACACTGATCCCTATAATGTTTGAGGGGAGATGTCATCCACACTTGACAGAAAGCTGGAATCAAATTCATGAATAAAACTAAATGAAACTTTGGTTGTGTGAACTTGTGTATGGAATGTTTTTTTTTCAAATTCTCAGTCACTTCAAGATACGTTTCAGGTAAATAGGAACTGTTTGCACAGTTCCCTATAAGATACCTTCAGTGGTTGAACAGTGAATGACCTAGGGCTCTTCAATCTGAAGCGTTACAGATACATTTAAAGGTAATTTAATGAGCCGACATGCAGCGTTTACCGTGAATGCAGTCTCTGCTAACGTGGGAACCTTGCCTTTAAATTTCAAAGCGATGTAATGCTGAACTTCAGCGATAGATTGAATCAAGCCCTAAAGCTCATTCTGTTTATGTCCTCAGTTCCACTTTAGATGTTCAGAAATGTATGATGTAGAACAGTTGCCTGTCATGTCAGCTCCATTCATTACATTTCTAGCTGCAATGTTGAGTATTTCACCTCAATACAGCCCTGTTTATGAATCATTGTGAATAACTAAGACGTTTGTCAACTGGTTTTATTAATCAAAATGTAACAGGCATGTATCAAAAGGTCAATACGGCAAAGACTTTACAAAATGGCTTGATACTGAAGTCCTCTTCCCAAAATGGCTGTCGCAAAAAATTGTAAACAGTTTTATCAACAGTCTTAAAGCACTTACAGCAAAATTACAAATCAGCTAAAATAAAACAGCACCCGTTATTGTTCAAAACATCTGCTGTCTGTACAGAATCAAAAGAGAACCCCCAAAATTAGAATGTTCATAGTCACTCATCCCTTTTGTATTCCATATATAAAAAAGGGTTGGGTTTTCCCTCACAACAAAAGGCAAATGGGGATCAGACAGTGCATTAAGGAGGACAAGCACACGATGCACTTAATGAGTAGTAGAACTAATAGTAGTAGGAGCTGGTTTGGTCACTTAGCGTAATCTGTGCATAGTTGAAAGGCATCGGTAGAGCAGTCCTCTCGGTTGCATGTGGCTATGATGATTAGAGACATTCAGAGAGAGCGAGCGAGCGTCCCATTCAGTAGAAGTAAACATGTTTACCAGGTAGCTAAACCACATCAGGAAACTTCCCTCCTACAGTCCACCCTCTACCTCGGGATAGAGATTGGCAAAACCCTGAGCTAGTTGCATTGTGATGGAGTTTTTAGATGAGATGCGTGTGCTATGACTGAGTGACTGGTCCAGGGTGACCGAAAGAGGTGCTCTACAGGCACAGTCCACAACACTGCTTTTTCATATTGGTTCCATTGTACAATCTAGAATACCGTAGAATGCCATTCTGTCTGTCCCAAATTCTTTCAGAACAAAAGCTGTGTCCAACATTTCAGTCTTTTGGGAGTGCAAGGAGGAGAGGAATACAATAGAAAACAGGTGGTGTTTTCTTTATGGCATCTGGTGTGTGACTGTCCGACTGTCAGACGGAGGCTTTGTGCTCGACTTCAGCAGTGGGGCGGCAGTTCAAACGCTAATGGTTCTTCGCATCTGTGCTTAGAAGGCATATCACGGAATCGAAATGATTCATTTAGAAAGGACAACAATGACAAACAAAGAGATGTCTGTAAACAGTCAGAGGCAGCAAAAGAACTGGGCTTGTCACATTATCCCAAAAATGTTTTACATGAGGAATAAGATTCATTACAAATGCATCAACACACCTCACAGCATCTCTGAGCTGTCTTTAGAGAGCCTCTTCTCAATACTCAATGTGTTTCAAATCACTTTCAAAGCATCTTATAGAACTGTTTGAAAATGGCACTTAAACCAGAAAAGTGTTTTTTTCAGTTACTGTCATTCCCTTAGATTCACTTTGCCACCAAAATAGTAGTGTGTCAAATTAGTAAGGCCAAAACTAGAGGACAAATAAATAAACAAGTTAATAAGAATAACAAATACAGCAGTAGCCAAATGAGGTATCTAGGTGTTGCTCCATGTCAAGGAAAGGAATTAAAAATTAAATAAAATCAGTGGTCTGTCAAAGACGGGATGCAAAAGCAACAAACTTAAGGTTCAGGTGGAGGGAGGAGGGGTTGAAGTCCACACCCCGTCCCTCCCACCTGTCCCACCCACTACCCAGTGTGTGGCGAGGCCAGGGGTCATAGGTCGGGGTTCTAAGGGCAAACGTGGAGTGTCAGGATTCTTTGCTTCCCCAAGGTATTTCTTTGGAGTTGGCTTCTCCCGTGGCTGTTGCCGTGGTGAAGGCTATGGGTTCCGCGGCAGAGGCAGACTCTGGTTCTGACTGGGTGACGGCGGGCGTTGGCATGGCGATGGAGGCAGGGCTGCTAGCTTCCAGCTCCTCAGGGCTAGAGGACCCCTCCTGCTGTACTAACCCACCCCAGCTGGCCTTGTTCAGCCCCAGGTGGCCTAGCATGGTCTGGGACAGACGTGTGTCAGAGAACCGTCCCCACTCGGCAAACAGAGGCTCCACCACGTACGTCATGAAACCTGGGGAAGGGAAGACCGGAAGACACACACAGGGTTAGAGAAGCGGGCCTAATAGAGCTTCTGGTTTATAATCAATGTAATGTAGCTAGTACTTACCTAGAAATCGTCATAAAAACTTACCTATCTGAATGTTTCCCATTGAGTTGCTCTGGCTATCACACAGTGGACTGACTTCAAGTTTGTGCTTCTTCTCAATGTCTCCTACAGAGGGATAGACAACACACTGATCAGAGATCAGAGGGATAGACAACACACTGATCAGAGGGATAGACAACACACTGATCAGAGGGATAGACAACACACTGATCAGAGGGATAGACAACACACTGATCAGAGGGATAGACAACACACTGATCAGAGGGATAGACAACACACTGATCAGAGATCAGAGGGATAGACAACACACTGATCAGAGGGATAGGTGAAGAGAAAAAGAGAGATTAAGAAGAGGAGAATGAATGAGATGCTACCTTGGTGGAAAAACTCTTCAGTCACTTTCTCGCTCCACTGTTTGCTCAGCTCCCAGGGTCTGCAGGGGTTGCAGATGTCCGCACACTTCAGAGCCATCTGCAAGGGGTTAGAAACAAAATAGCCAGTTAGACCCCACAGTTTCCAGCTGGTAAGAGCCAAAATGACCGGTTCTACACAGTTTTCCCATGCACAACTAAGAGCCACAATGACTGGTTAGTTGCCACAGTTTCCCCAGGCCCAACTCTAAGCCTACGGCCCAGCTGGTAACTGACCTGGAGGATGAAGTGTCGGTGGCTGGCGTTGCTCAGGCACAGGTCATCCTGGTTCAGGTGTGTTCTGAACTTTCCCAGGTACTCGTTCTGTCTGCTGATGTCAGTGGCCAGGATCAGAGAACCCAGCTGGCGCTCCATCTTCAGCCTGAGGAGATCATGAGCAGTTTAAATAAATGTGTTAAATGTATACTACCATACTTGAGTGTACAACAACCAACTCATTACCTTCCTCTTTAACAACAGAGTCATGTTCATTAATCATAAAATACTTGGCACTGGAAAAAGAGAACCTAGACTGACCCTTCCTCAGCAGGCAGGTGGGAGAACAGGCCAGTCTCTCTGAGCAGACCTACTGCAGACCTCCAGTGGTGGTTCTCCAGAACAGAGGAATTCTACAGACCACAGAGACATATACATTAGATTTCTATAACACTGTTATCTTGAGTTCCTAAGTACATTAAATCATAGACCTCAACATTATCTTAAAATAAGAGCAAATACCCGATGAACTAGGTCAATTTTAAGACGTTATCACCACTTTTGTCCTGTCAAGCATGGCCATCTAGTGATCTCCAGCCAGGTCTAATGCTACAGGATTGCTTTGCCTTCTCACCCTGTCCAGCTTGGCCAGCTTAGAGTTAGCCAGAGGGGTATACTACTAAGCAGGATCAAAAAGTTGGCCTAAATATTCTGATATAAGGTTTTATTTTTAGGAAAGATAAGCTTGTAATAGGTATGGGCTAATTGATTCAACAAATCAAAACAGATATCTAAGATTAGATTTTTATTATCATTCCTTTCATTGATTTATTTGTGGTATCAATTGGTAGTTACAGTCTTGTCCCGTCGCTGCAACTCCCCTATGGACTCGGGTGAGGCAAATGTCGAGAGCCATGCGTCCTCCGAAACACGACACTGCCAAAGCGCACTGCTTCTTTTTTCTTTTTTTTTGGGGGGGGGGGGGGGGGGGGGGGGGGGTAGATCAGCTTCAATATTGCATATGTTTTTACATACATACATACAAAATGAGAAAAAAACATCCAGAAAATCACATTGCAGGATTTTTAATACATTTATTTGCAAATTATGCTGGAAAATAAGTATTTGGTCAATAACAAAAGTTTCTCAATACTTTGTTATATACCCTTTGTTGGCAATGACACAGGTCAAACGTTTTCTGTAAGTCTTCACAAGGTTTTCACACACTGTTGCTGGTATTTTGGCCCATTCCTCCATGCAGATCTCCTCTAGAGCAGTGATGTTTTGGGGCTGTCGCTGGGCAACACGGACTTTCAACTCCCTCCAAAGATTTTCTATGGGGTTGAGATCTGGAGACTGGCTAGGCCACTCCAGGACCTTGAAATGCTTCTTACGAAGCCACTCCTTCGTTGCCCGGGCGGTGTGTTTGGGATCATTGTCATGCTGAAAGACCCAGCCACATTTCATCTTCAATGCCCTTGCTGATGGAAGGAGGTTTTCACTCAAAATCTCACAATACATGGCCCCATTCATTCTTTCCTTTACACGGATCAGTCGTCCTGGTCCCTTTGCAGAAAAACAGCCCCAAAGCATGAGGTTTCCACCCCCATGCTTCACAGTAGGTATGGTGTTCTTTGGATGCAACTCAGCATTCTTTGTCCTCCAAACACGACGAGTTGAGTTTTTACCAAAAAGTTATATTTTGGTTTCATCTGACCATATGACATTCTCCCAATCCTCTTCTGGATCATCCAAATGCACTCTAGCAAACTTCAGACGGGCCTGGACATGTACTGGCTTAAGCAGGGGGACACGTCTGGCACTGCAGGATTTGAGTCCCTGGCGGCGTAGTGTGTTACTGATGGTAGGCTTTGTTACTTTGGTCCCAGCTCTCTGCAGGTCATTCACTAGGTCCCCCCGTGTGGTTCTGGGATTTTTGCTCACCGTTCTTGTGATCATTTTGACCCCACGGGGTGAGATCTTGCATGGAGCCCCAGATCGAGGGAGATTATCAGTGGTCTTGTATGTCTTCCATTTCCTAATAATTGCTCCCCACTGTTGATTTCTTCAAACCAAGCTGCTTACCTATTGCAGATTCAGTCTTCCCAGCCTGGTGCAGGTCTACAATTTTGTTTCTGGTGTCCTTTGACAGCTCTTTGGTCTTGGCCATAGTGGAGTTTGGAGTGTGACTGTGAGGTTGTGGACAGGTGTCTTTTATACTGATAACAAGTTCAAACAGGTGCCATTAATACAGGTAACGAGTGGAGGACAGAGGAGCCTCTTAAAGAAGAAGTTACAGGTCTGTGAGAGCCAGAAATCTTGCTTGTTTGTAGGTGACCAAATACTTATTTTCCACCATAATTAGCAAATGAATTCATTAAAAATCCTACAATGTGATTTTCTGGATTTTTTTTTCTCAATTTGTCTGTCATAGTTGACGTGTACCTATGATGAAAATTACAGGCCTCTCTCATCTTTTTAAGTGGGAGAACTTGCACAATTGGTGGCTGACTAAATACTTTTTTCCCCCCACTGTATATACTTATTATGGACACAGTATGCTTACATTATTATCTTGTTGTTATTAGTCCCATCCTTCAATTCCATTCAACACCTCCCATCTATCTCTTACCACCATCCATATTTGATTTCTATTTGCCATATATTTTTCAACTGTACTGTGATGTTTTACAAAAGTTCTGAACCTTTCTATTCTCATTGTTTCTACAGATTGTAAATTGAAAATAAAACATTTTTGCTAAAAGTATTATTAATCGATTGACTAAGAATTTTATTTAATAATTTAACTTAAAAAATTATAAGTTTTGAATCCGGCATCGTTTTGCGTATCAGTTCATAACCACAGGATCGGTACATAAAAAATCTCTTCCCAACTATTTTGCAATCTATATGGGACGGCTGTCAATCCTTTGGTCCTTAAATGAAACTGGTATAGCAGACATTTCCATATGTTTTTGTTAGCTGCATGTGCGACATAACTGCTTCTTGACACACTGCTCGCTTAACCCGGAAGCCAGCCGCACCAAAGTGTTGGAGGAAACACCGTCCAACTGACGACCGATGTCAGCTTGCAGGCGCCTGGCCCGCCACAAGGAGTCACTAGAGCACGAAGAGACAAGGAAATCCTGGCCGCCAAACCCTTCCCTAACCCGGACGACGCTGGGCCAATTGTGCGCCACCTCATGGGTCTCCCGGTCACGGCCGGCTGTGACACAGCCTGGGATCGAACCCGAGACTGTAATGATGCCTCAGCACTGCAATGTAGTGCCTTATGTCTTCTTAAGTAGCTGTGGACTGCTCCAGCTATGTGCTCTCACCCTGTAGAGCTTGGCCAGGTAGTGGTTGGTCTTGATGAGGAAGGGCTGGTTGACTCCCGGGTGGTCCAGGTCATGAGTGGCGGCTGCTAGCAGGCCCAGGAGGATGTCACAGGACGTCAGGGACTTGGCCAGCTATGGAGAGACAGGGAATGTCAGCTCACTTTTCTCTGCTCATATCCATGAGCCCAGGAGCTAATGCCTAGGCTTTAGGTCAGTGGGATAATGTGGTCAATAGCCCAGTTCAACACCCAATAAGCTACTTCTGAATACTTTCTCTACAACAGAAAACCAGCACTGTCAATCTCTGTCTGCTACCTTGGGTTCTCGCAGGTAGCAGTACATGGCCTGCGTGACGTCAGCGGCGTGCACAGCATTGTGGTAGGGGTTGAGGCTACGGTAGTCCTCCTGCACCATGACCAGGAAGCGCCACAGCTTCACCATGTCCAGCTGAAACAGCTCCAGCAGACCATACTGGTTCAGGAGGTGGAAGGTCATCGTCACCAGGCTGTTTCCTGCATGGAGAGGGGAGGGATGGGAGATGTAGTTTAAAGAGCTGGTCAGGAATAGTGTTTGGGGGTGGGTAGTTCTGTTTTTATGTGGTCGTGGAGGAGTTTAGCATTGCAATGAAAATATATGGAAAAGGACTTAAGAGGCCCCACCATCCCAGTTCTACACAGCATTCAGCAAAACAAACACCAGAGGGCATCATTGTCCACATCTCTGATGAGTTGAAAGCAGGCCTATGCAGTAATGTTACACTCATTCTGTGAGGATGATGACATTACAAAAATGTAGGTGAGGCTTTAGGAGAAAAGATGGACATCGGTCAGAAACATACCATTCGTTAATCTGTCGAAGAGGAAAATGTCGAAATTCCAGCTCCCGACCCTTTCCAGCATACACTGCAAGAGAAAAACACACGTAAATGTGTGTTAAGCCATGCACATAAATATTAATTGTGTATGCATAAGAGTGTATGATTGGCTCAGAGTGTATGTTCTGTGTAAGTATCAGACCTTGGCCTGTCCGATGTAGTCCTCGTCCAGGATGTGGAGGGGGTTGAGGTGGGTTGTTCCCCAGAGCAGACGGGACGAGTGCAGGTATCTCTGGAAGCTGAGCAGTCTGCGGAGCCTCCTACCAGACACTGGCCCAGCCGAAATGAAGCCAGGACCAGCGATAAGACTAGAGGCGGAGGTGGAGTCTGAGCAGGCTGAAGACACAGGAACACCGACAAGGGTTTATTCAGAACATTGGAGTTGTTTAGAACAGGGGTTCTCAAACCTTTTGGGTCCGGGACCCCTTTTGTTATAGCAAATTCATCAGGGACCCCCTCATAACTAGGGTGATATAAAACTAGCATACAAGGAATGGTACTATGACTTTGGCAGTGCATGGCCGGACGAACCTTCAGGCCCTGGGAAGGAACATTTTAAAAGGCCAACCTCTTGGCATCAGAGAGAAAATGTGCAGTTTTCAAGCGAATGTCCTGCAATTCTACACATTTTGTCATGAGACAGAGAACATGTTGCAGTTTTAAAGCTTAAAATTAGTGCATTGCAAAAAAATTTATAGTAACAATTAAGTACCTTACTGTGACTGTTTTCAATTACAAATGGTAAAAAATAAACAAATAGCTTCTTATCAAAGTACAATTTCTCAAACAAGAATTTTCCTAGGACCGTCTGGGAGTGGTCTGAGTGGGAAGGAGAAAACTGAAAACTAGCTGTTGGCTGAGGGGAGGACAGGTCATAATAATGGCTGGAATGGAATGGCATCCAGCCATTATGACGAGCCAGTCCTCCCCAATTAAGGTGCCACCAACCTCCAGTGGTTGGCACAGAGGAACTCTTTCTAATTTACCCCCAAGATGTCACCAGGCAGGCCAAAACTCCATCCCACCAAAACCGTCTGAAATTTCAAGCAGTCTTTTCAAACAGCTCTTACACTAAAAAGGGCATTATCATTATTTTCAAAGTATTATTCCAACCTCATAGTGTGGAAATATATATAAAAACACAGGGAAATCAAGTTATTGACTGAACTGGGCCTTTAAGTTAAAAAACTGATGGCTTACTGTGGATCCCAATATCCCTGTGAGCATCCCAGGCACATGTAACCAAGGGGTAAGAACATGAATTGTGGATTAATAATAAACATTGTATAACACCTTCAACTTATTCCATGGAACCCACAGCCATTATTTTGTTATCTGTTAGTAATAGTCAAAAAAATTAAACACATACGGCTGTGGACCCCCTGCAGTTCAAGGTTTACAACATAGTGGATAGAAATATGATGCATAGATTCAACATATTTCTGTTGTACAGAAAGGGACACAGAGGGATGACATGGCGTGTCTGGTTTACACAGTAGATGTCTATCTAATCATTTAGTAATGTACTCTGCTTGATAATCCCCAGGCACAAGTCTCAGACATCTGCTCCAAATCCTGATCAGGAATGTTGCACAACAAATGTTTGGGTGGACTTATAATTGAGACTGTAAGGGCTATCCAAATGTCCAAATGTTGAATAAATCAACAAGAATGAGAACACTGATGAAAACAATATAATTAAATCAACAAGAATGAGAGGTGGACAAAACAAATGATTTTGTCCAGTGTCAGGTCACACTGGATTTAAGACTGGTCGACTATGAACACTACTTCCCGAGGGTGGACACACACACACACTTACACTACTGCCTGGACACACACACACACCAGTCACAAGTCGTGCTTTTTAAACAATTTAAAACATTAAGGAGATTGACATTCAATTTCATTGAATAGAAAATTGTACAGTATTTTCTCTACAAGACTGTGACCGAAATAAATATCACTCCACTTCCTGAACTAGAATAGCACCCCAACCCTGCTCAGTCACATAAGGATTCTTCAGGTTGGCTTATTTACACAAAGACAGTGATTGTTAGATGGCGAGGGTGACTAATCAGTGTGTGAAATAAATAAGATATGCACCAACATCGGTCAGTCAATCTGTCTGGTGTAGCAGATCTGAGTTAAGACAGGTAGTACCCACAGAGGGCTGTATTTATGCGGGTGCCCGCTCTCTCTCTTAACTGATCAGTGAGGGTAACTAGAGAAAATTCATACCGTATGTCATTACCAAGTGCATGAATTGAGCAACAGACTGGGTATATGTACACAGATACTATTTCTTGGATTACAGTCAAACTATATGACTGTTGTTAATAATGGGCCCTGGCATTCCTTCCTTTGGTGCTTCAGTGTGGATAGCTAGTAGCAGTACTTAGCACTACTAAGGAGGCCAGTGAGGAAAGAAGGTTTTTGTCATGGTTCATACTCACAGTGTAGGGTCCGGAAGTCGATGCACAGGTACGGGTAGGAACCTCTTCCTTCTGGTTCAAATCCTACCTGACTTCTCACACGAACATCTCCTAGAGGGAAACAACACACACACACACACACACACACGTCCTCAAGAGTCATGTAACATAGTGGAGAAAGAGCTCTCCCACACACACACACACACGGTCACCAACATGCTGTACTCACCCACATGCACTCTCCTCACACACACTTTCTTTCTCGCTCTCTCCCTCATTCTTCAAAGGGGAGCAGCATGTAGATCACTAAAAGAGCTAGGAACAGCTGATAGCTGAGCATGCAGTGCCAGGCAAGGCTACAGTATCACTAGTATTAGTAGTAAGACAGGCTAGGAGCAGCATACAGTAGAGTACAGTAGACAGGTTTGTGCTTCATACTCCGAGGTGAACACTGAGTATTGCTATGGTACTGGCCCAGGCAACCCAGTCAATACTAGTCTTCTAGAGGAGTCATTCAGCAGTACAGTCAGACTGACAGACTAACGCAGCGCTTCAGTACTGATTTGTACAGCAGATCAGTCATACAGTACAGTCCCACTCCCACCAGCTTTACTTACTTGGGAACAGCTGTTTGAATATAACACAAGCCCCTAGCAAAATAGCAAAACTGGGAATTACCATTAAAGGATGGTCACATATAGCTTACACAGCATTCACAGATTGAATGTAAATATACAAGGGTATGTATGATGTACACAAACTCACACACATGCAATCACACATCCAAGTCATTTTGTGTCTGTCTGTGTGTGAGCTGTGAGTTTAAAATATGTGATGAGATGTGGTGAGTCACATTTTCCCATTCTGCGTGCCAGCGGGCCTTGACGTCGGGGGAATATGGGTCAGACAGTTGATTAGCAATGTGCCCTGACCTCTACGCTTTAATGCTTTTAAACCCACTGTATGACAACACATTACCATATCAGACTGGCTTAGTAATTGATCACAGGCCCTGGCAAATAGCCTAAATGTCCTGAACTGGGATGCTGCTGCACCTCTTACTAAGAATTGTAATATCCACCAACTCCACAAAAACACATGCTCTCAAAGTAGGCCCAATGCTAGAGCTAACCAGGGGAACGCTAGTAGCAGCAAATCAATTGTTACGTCATTGAGTTAAGGAAATAGTCATTTAGACTGTCTTCTTGAGATGTTTGAACTACTGAAGAGGTCAGTAATCCGTGTAAAATAAAAAATATTATCTTCCAACAGAATTTTATCAGAAAATACTACTTAAATCACAAACTATTTGCAGCACAAACCATCATGGCTTCCACCAGACAGGAAGTGAGGTCACACAGTGACCTGGCCAGTTGTAGGTTATAAAAAAGGGCCCAGAGTATTTCCTGGAAAACTCCTGGCCCTGTGTACAGTGCCTTGCAAAAGTATTCATCCCCTTGGCGTTTTTCCTATTTTGTTGCATTATAACCTGTAATTTTAATTGCTTTTTATTTGGATTTCATGTAATGGACATACACAAAATAGTCAGAATTGGTGAAGTGAAATGAAAAAAATATCTTGTTTCAAAACATTCTACAAAATAAATAACAGAAAAGTGGTGGCTGCATATGTATTCACCCCCTTTGCTATGAAGCCCCCTAAATAAGATCAGGTGCAACCAATTACCTTCAGAAGTCACATAATTAGTTAAATAAAGTCCACCTGTGTGCAATCTAAGTGTCACATGATCTCAATATATATATATATATATATCTGTTCTGAAAGGCCCCAGAGTCTGCAACACCACTAAGCAAGGGGCACCACCAAGCAAGAGGCAACATGAAGACCAAGGAGCTCTCCAAACAGGTCAGGGACAAAGTTGTGGAGAAGTACAGATCAGGGTTGGCTTATAAAAAAATATCAGAAACTTTGAACATCCCACGGAGCACCATTAAATCCATTATTAAAAAATGGAAAGAATATGGCACCGCAACAAACCTGCCAAGAGAGGGCCGCCCACCAAAACTCACGGACCAGGCAAGGAGGGCATTAATCAGAGAGGCAACAAAGAGACCAAAGATAACCCTGAAGGAGCTGCAAAGGTCCACAGCTGAGATTGGAGTATCTGTCCATAGGACCACTTTAAGCCGTACACTCCACAGAGCTGGGCTTTACGGAAGAGTGGCCAGAAAAAAGCCATCGCTTAAAGAAAACAATAGGCAAACACGTGGAAGAAGGTACTCTGGTCAGATGAGACTAAAATTGAGCTTTTTGGCCATCAAGGAAAATGCTATGACTGGCGCAAACCCAACACCTCTCATCACCCTGAGAACACCATCCCCACAGTGAAGCATGGTGGTGGCAGCATCATGCTGTGTGGTTGTTTTTCTATCGGCAGGTACTGGGAAACTGGTCAGAATTGAAGGAATGATAGATGGCTCTAAATACAGGGAAATTCTTGAGGGAAACCTGTTTCAGTCTTCCAGAGATTTGAGACTGGGACGGATGTTCACCTTCCAGCAGGACAATGACCCTAAGCATACTGCTAAAGCAACACTCGAGTGGTTTAAGGGGAAACATTTAAATGTCTTGGAATGGCCTAGTCAAAGCCCAGACCTCAATCCAATTGAGAATCTGTGGTATGACTTAAAGATTGCTGTACACCAGCGGAACCCATCCAATTTGTAGGAGCTGGATCAGTTTTGCCTTGAAGAATGGGCAAAAATCCCAGTGGCTAGATGTGCCAAGCTTATAGAGACATACCCCAAGAGACTTGCAGCTGTAATTGCTGCAAAAGGTAGCTCTACAAAGTATAGACTTTGGGGGGGGTGAATAGTTATTCACGCTCAAGTTCAGTTGTCTTATTTCTTGTTTGTTTCACAATAAAAAAATATTTTGCATCTTCAAAGTGGTAGGCATGTTGTGTAAATCAAATGATACAAACCCCCCCCCAAAATGCATTTGAATTCCAGGTTGTTAGGCAACAAAATAGGAAAAATGCCAAGGGGGTGAATACTTTCGCAAGCCACTGTATATATTCTCCCATGACAACAGAACAGGCCATGTGGCCGCACATAAGGTCTAATCTGTCTTGGTCTGCTAGACTGTGACTCCGGGATAGGCAAGGCTAAATCCAATTCAATTCCATAAACCTTATTATCCCAATTGTTACGTGGCAGTGCAGACAACATAGAATATACATATGTACATGACCAACAAGACAGGACAGACTGTTACAAACAACAACCACAGTAGAGTGGACTCCTGGCATCCACACAGAGGACCCAGAACATTCCACAGGCCTATGAGCCCAGTATGACACAGAACTAAATCTATGCCTCAGTAAATCTGATCAAAATACAAAGAAAGGCTTAATACTGTGGACCAACGGCTGGCCTGGTTGGCCTCAGACATGACTTAAGCCTTATGTGATGGAGAGATTATCAATGAGATCAGGGATTGACCAGACGAGAGAGTCTGCAGTGAGTCCCTCTGCATTCCTCTCAGTCTGCCTGAATTCCTCTATCCCTTTCTCAATTTATTTATCCATCCCTTTCTCACGTTATTTATCACTTTCTCACGTTGTTACTTAAGCTATATAATATGACAAAAACATTACTAACTATATTTAAACCCTTTCCTTGATGTGCAATCTAGAGGCCTGATGATGCCTGTTCATTCTGAATGTAGGGACAGTGGGCAGTACTTATAGTTGCTAGTATTGGAATGGTAGTTGTGCTAGAACAACACTGCTGGTGGTGCTGCTGAGTGAGTGTGGGTGGGGACAGTACTTACAGTAACTAGCATAATGCTAGTTGTTGTGTACTGTATGTAACAGTGGGCAAAACGTACCTAGCATAATGCTAGTTGTTGTGTACTGTATGTGACAGGGGCAATACTTACCTAGCATAATGCTAGTTGTTGTGTACTGTATGTGACAGGGGCAATACTTACCGAGCATACGAATGTACAGAGCAGTCTGATCTGAGCTGTCATATGAGATGGCCCCTCGTCTCTGAAGGAGAGGAAAGAGAACATAAAAAATAAACATGTTTTCAACTAATATTTATGCTTCAGAGACATTGGCAAATCAGAAGAGCACCAGAGAAATATGCAACGACATTAAAACACTTTAATAATCCAAGTAGTGGTGGCCTACAGTCTACTAAAGTCATTTGGGTTCAACTGATAAAGGATTTCCTCACAGGCTCACAAGTTGTCTGTCATCTGTTTGATGGTACACACACTCCATCTGTTTATCAGCTAGTGTGAGAAACATTCATGCTGCGTACCTACCCACACGCAAACACTCACACAGCGAGAGTGTGTGTGTGTACACATGATATATGCATGCGTGTGTGTGCATGTGTAGTGTGTGAGAGCTGGTGCGGTATATGGTGTGGGAAGCTCTGTACTATGTGTAGGGGAACATGCTGTGCCAGACAGACTGAGTTGAGATGTCCGTCTGGTAAAACCTTAGAGTTAATCACACCTCATTTCCCCAGTAATAGGCTCCTTGTTACCGTGACGATAGAGCAAAGCTGCTTGCTGATTAGGACAGCAGCAGATGACACTCGCACACACTTCCATAGACACTCTAGGCTTACAAAGCACGCAAGACAGAAAGAGAGGGGGGGGGGGGGGGGGGGGGGGGAGACAACCACACACAAATAGCAAAAGAGAAAGTGAGACAACCCCACCGACCGACAGACCAGGCATTCCTTCTGACAGACTGAGAGGGTAAGAGTATTCATATAGCCAAGAGGAGAAGTCAAACATTGTGTCTAAAACGCACACAAACGTAGACCTAGGACAATACTAGATCATCCTGTGTGTGTGTGTGTGTGTGTGTGTGTGTGTGTGTGTGTGTGTGTGTGTGTGTGTGTAGGTGTACATTGGTGCCTGGCCCTAATCAGCAGGTTTCAGTAACATAAGAGAGGACCTAACCAGGGGATATCCTCAACCTGCTGTCACCCACAGACAGACGCTCAGGCACGGCTTTGGCTCACCTCCCCTTGCACCACACAGAGTGTCTCCGGAGCTAGTCTCCCCATAGGGCTCCCCTCTCCCCTGGCCATCCAGCCAGCCAGGGTGTCCACAGAGGACACACCCCTCAGGCCCATGACGTCAATCGGCTCAGCCTCATTTACATTCATGATTTTTATCCATTACCATTCCCGCACTCAGTCTCTTTCTCTCCCTCCCTCGCTCATCCCCTCTGGGCTCTCCTCTCAAATGAAAAACAAAACGCTTTGAAGCCATATTCTCCCACAATGCAGTGTAGAGGCCGTGAAAACAGCAATTTATTGAGGCTTACGGGTGTCAACTGAAGGTTACATAATTATTATTATTAACAACATGTCTAAGCAGCTTGTTATAGCCTGGTCCTACTGGGAGTGGTCCCATCTGAAAAACAATCCTCTAACAGGGCTATGTTGACAAGTTTAACAACCACTGTCACACACACACATCCAACTGTAACAACTGATAAACCCAGATAAGGATCAGGGTTCGTCACCACCAAACCGTCACACACTATCTCTCTGGGTGTGTCCGTCTCCCTCTGACCCTAAGTGTCTTCTAATTCTAAGGTCACATGACGGCGGCGGCCAATCCGAGGCTAATATTTGACCGGCAGGCAAACAGGCTTGTCATGGTAGGTAATATGTGGTGCAGTGTGTTTACACACAGCACCGCCGCTTAGCGTGAGTAATATCCACCCTGTGTGTGGGCGGGGGGGGGGGGGGGGGGGGGGGGGGGGTTACGTGTGCTATTATGGCCACTTTGTATACAGAACAGCACCATACTCACAACACTCACAGCCTGGCACATCCTCACCTGCCCTGACACACCTCAGTGCAAACACACACTGAATACACACGTACTGTACACAACACACAGCATTGGTTTGGCACGTGTGCTAGTATGGTCACTTTGTCAATGTCACAGCTAAATGTGCAGAGGAATACACACACACACCCCATACAAAGATAAACAGACAGGCATAACCATAAGCAGAGAGACCCCAAACTAGTGCATATATATCACTAACACACACACACACACACCCCTCCCCCTCCCTCCTCCCTTTGGTGACATCTATTGCCGGCTTGTCTAATCTGGCCTGTACTGTCACTCATCACGTCAGTTAGCAGCCAACTGGCAGGATTACCAGGCCCCCCTCAGGCCGGGGTCAGGAAACTTCTCCAAGGTCACTGGGTTTGTAGGTCTAAGGTTAGAGGTCAGACTGGACTGAGGCGTCAACCCTGGGCCATGTGAAACCATAGAGATCAGGTTAGTGTCTGTAGTTTGTCATTTACTTGTGTGAAACTGTGAACAAACTAACAAAGGTGTGTCCTAAACCTACCTTTTTTGCCTGGAGAACCGTTTTGGTTTAAGTAAACAAAGACAAACGTTTGTAGACATAATTCAAGTGTAACGCATCTAGACACTTTTTTCAGCATTGAGTTTGATCTCATGTGTAGCCTAGCTGACACTACTGTAGGTGTACTTGAAGCTAAATCTAAACCCAAGCAGACAGCTCCCCAGCGCTGTGAATGATCATTGATGCCAAGTCTAGCAGCTTCAGGCCTTTAAAGTGGTGTTAAGCAGAGCCTGGTCAAAGCTCATCCACACACACTTCCCTGTTTTAGCCCCAAGGCAATTTCACTTACAATGTAGGTGTGCCAAACAAAACCCATTGATTTCAAGGTTTAACAAACCATACAATGAACAAGGACTACTTTTAACAATTTACACTGACGATTTTACAAAAATACATTTACTGGAAGAACTGTGCAGATGCAAAGTTTGGTAACAGAATTTCTGTAAAATTTCCCTCCGTTTTTTTTTTGTGTCCATGTTTTCCAAAAACTCTTAAATAGCTGCTTCAAATTAACGTCATTTGCAGAAAGAATGGGATGTCAGCTATGACGTGACACACTGACTTTGAAAAACCTCTTTTGGTTATTGAAATACACTAAGTGAAGTGGATTTACACCCAGTAACGGAATTTCATCATGGACCCCTGATCTGTACTACACAGAAATGCTTAATTATGGATATGAATGTCATTAGCTTCATGGTGTTGTATCCTAAATAGGTACACAAAAAAGATATAAAATATGCAATATCCTCCTTTGCATATTTGGGTATTATTCTACACACTGTTCCGGTCTGGTTTAAATGAGCTCTGCCCCCAAACAAGACCAGATTTGGTTGGTCCAGACCGGAACAAATCTGAACCAATCATAGATGTCTATGTTTCACAAGTTTGGACAACAAAAGTACAGCACAGTAGAGTAGAGTTCAGTACATTATAGTGTACTCAACTCTAGTGTGCACTACTGTGTACTGTACTGTACAGTACAGTACTCTACTGTCCAAACTTGTGAACAAAACTGTGGTTTGTGACTACTACGATTTCCCATTCTAGCCAATTCAATTGCAGAAATTCCTTTACCAAATCAGTAAAATAAAAAAACGAATTAAAAGAGTAACGGATTTGAGTTTGAATCACTTAATTAAACAAATTGATATCAGTAAAAACTAATTGATAGGTCATTGAAAATGGGTCGTGGATGGGTATTCCAGCATGACAATGACCCAAAACACACGGCCAAGGCAACAAAGGAGTGGCTCAAGAAGAAGCACATTAAGGTCCTGGAGTGGCCTAGCCAGTCTCCAGACCTTAATCCCATAGAAAATCTGTGGAGGGAGCTGAAGGTTTGAGTTGCCAAACGTCAGGCTCGAAACCTTAATGACTTGGAGAAGATCTGCAAAGAGGAGTGGGACAAAATCCCTCCTGAGATGTGTGCAAACCTGGTGGCCAACTACAAGAAACGTCTGACCTCTGTGATTGCCAACAAGGGTTTTGCCACCAAGTACTAAGTCATGTTTTGCAGAGGGGTCAAATACTTATTTCCCTCATTAAAATGCAAATCAATTTATAACATTTTTGACATGCATTTTTCTGGATTTTTTTGTTGTTATTATTCTGTCTCTCACGGTTCAAATAAACCTACCATTAAAATTATAGACTGATCATGTCTTTGTCAGTGGGCAAATGTACAAAATCATCAGGGGATCAAATACTTATATCCTATTTTTACAAAATGGACTCAGCTTTTATCTGACACCCAATTTGAAATGCGCCTATGAACTTCACGTTGGTGCTCATGGGTCCTTCTGAATGGAAATGACCCTCAGTGATAAAACCCAATTTCCTCATGAGGTCAGTGGTAAAAACACTGGGTTCTAGCTGAGGACAGCCTTCCCACACGCACACAGACACCAAGCCCCTCCCCCTGCCACTCACAACAATGACTGAAGTTGATCTTCTACCTATCTGGCAACAAGCAGTTACAACTCGCTATTTGCATTTGAGGTTTGGTCCAACATATAAAAAAAGAATAAACTAAAATTGGTCATATCATATGGATAACAAAACACATTTACATTATTTTACTCTGAGAGGAGATCATAACCTCTGTAACGATACCCTTTGTATGTCTCAAATGGATAAATCACCTCTACCCGCCGTTCTATTGGCGAACGTGCAATCACTGGAGAATAAATGGGATGAGCTCCGTTCAAGACTATCCTATTAAACATGATCTGAAAAACGGTAATATCCTATTTTTCTCTGAGTCGTGGCTGAACAAGGACATGGTAAATATAGATCTAGCTGTTTTTTTCTATACATCAGGAGGACACAACGGTGGCATCGGGGAAGTTCATGTGAGATTGTGCGTCTGTTATAAAGGAAGTCTCGAGGTTCTGCACGCATGAGTTAGAATACCTCAAGATAAGCTGTTGACCAAGAGTTATATATTTTTCATAGCTGTGTACCACCACAAACAGATGCTGGCACTAAGACCGCACTCAACAAGTTGTATAGGGCCATAAGCAAACAAGACAATGCTCCTAGTGGCCAGTGACTTTAATGCAGGAAAACTGAAATCAGTTTTACCTTTCTACCAGCATGTCACCTGTGCAATTCCAGGCAATAAATAAATACAATTACTCTAGATCACCTTTACTCCACACACAGAGACGCATACAAAGCTCTCCCTCGATTTGGCAAATCTGACCATAACTTTATCCTCCGGATTCCTGCTTACAAGTAAAAACTCAAACCGGAAGTAACAGTGACCCGCTCAATACGGAAGTGGTCTGATGAAGCGGGTGCTAAACTAGACTGGAATATGTTCTGGGATTCATCCGACGGCATTGAGGAGTTTACCACATCAGTCACCGGCTTCATTAATAAGTGCATCGATGACGTCGATGTGACCGTACGTACATATCCTAACCAGAAGCCATGGATTACAGGCAACAGTCGCACTGAACTAAAGGCTAGAGCTGCCACTTTCAAGGAGCGGGACACTAATCTGTCCGCTTACAAGAAATCCCACTACGCCCTCCGATGAACCATCAAACAGGCAAAGCGTCAACACAGGACCAAGATCAAGTCCTACTACACCGGCTCTGACGCTCGTTCGATATGGCAGGGCTTGCAAACTATCACAGATTACAAAGGGAAACCCAGCCGCGAGCTGTCCAGTGGTGCGAGCCTTTTAGACGAGCTAAATACATTCTATGTCCGCGTCGAGGCTAGCAACACTGAACCATGCATGAGCGCCCCCCCCATCCACATCGATGGGGCTGTAGTGGAGCAGGTCGAGAGCTTCAAGTTCCTGTGTCCACATCACTAAAGGAATGATCATGGTCCACACACATCAACACAGTCGTGGAGGGCACGACAATGGCTCTTCCCCCTCAGGGGGCTGAAAAGATTTGGCATGGGCCCGCAGATCCTCAAAAAGTTATATACCTGCACCATTGAGAGCATCTTGACTGGCTGCATCACCGCTTGGTTTGGCAACTGCTTGGCATGCGATCGCAAGCTGCTAAAGAGGGTAGTGCGTACAGCCCAGTACATCAATGGGGCCGAACTCTCTGCCATCCAGGACCTCTATACTAGGTGGTGTCAAAAGAAGGCCCTAAACATTTTCTAAAGACTCCAGCCACCCAAGTCATAGACTGTTCTCCCAGCCAATCAGAATAGGTTTCCCACCCCACCAAGTGGTCTGCTGTTGTGAGGCCGGTTAGACGTACTGCC